TTTTTAATGGGTGGTATAGATAGACCATCCCCAAACGATAGGTTTATGTCATTGGGTGTGCCACCTATAGTAATAAGAACAACAATAGGAATAGTAATGATAATTGAAGCTGCGACTTGAAGCTTGTCATTAGTTATATCAATCACCTATAGTTGTAATAACAATATATTAACAATACTGATAAGAATAATTGTGTATTATTCATACTGATCCGTAACATAGCAACCACCTATGATACAATTATAGTGACCAATAATAACTAATAATAATCATCATGTGATCATAATTCAACAACCTATAGTAATAATATGAAATAGTCAACAGCAGTACTATAACCACTATATAGTCCTATTATTATTAACTATGACTATGATAATGCTAATGCTAATGATATGTATCTATATAAATAGTTAATGCTAATAATACAAATAACATATCATAATACAAATAACATATCATAATACAAATAACATAGTATACTAATTATTATTATATATGATAATGCTATGATTCATATAGTATATTATACTATACTATACCCATAATACTAGGACTGTGACAAAAAAATACGAATGATATCAGTAAATAAATAAATAAATAAATATATATATATCATATTAACAATAATAATAGTACCCTCTGGTTATGACTAACATAGCCATGGCTCAGCCATGGCCATGGCCCAAAAAACGCCAGGAGGTGACACGACAGCCCAGCGGCCAGACAGAGATGTCGCAGATGGAGGTCTTCAGCTCCGAACCTCGTTGCTGGCGGTCACTTTTTGCCAGGAAAAGATGCCACACAATGTGGGCCCCCCCAGTTATAAGATGGTTTATAAACCCCATTAACTATAGTTATACGTACCATAAAGTATAGTTATTGGAGTTATAAACCAACTTAGCTATCTAGGGGGCCCCACTTTGCAAAAATCCATGACAACCCAGGAAAATCCATGATTTGCTGGGAGAAAATGCCATGTTTTTTTGGTGCCAAACGATTTTTTTTTGGTTTGGAAACATCTTTTTTTGTCCAGGAAACGATGTGGGCATCTATGTTTTTTATTGGGCGAAAAACCATAGTTTGTTTCGAGGAGGAAATGTGAAACGATGGATTAAAAAGGACCGGGGGATTTGTGATGGGATTTTTCTAGTGTGAATTTAAATTGAGTTAGTAACAACGGTTCTTTTTTATTTTTGAGACAGGTGAACTATGGTTGAAATTAATTCTGTGTATATTTACTTTTTTGATTGCATGTATTTGTTTGTTTAGCATTTTGTCCGATTTTGCGGTCTTGTACACGGAAGGGATATCGACTGCTGTACCTATTTGGGAAGGGCATGTGCATAAACATACATAAATACTAACTGTAAGATACTGTAAGTATATGAATCCCAAAGGCAGCAAGTAAATGCAAGACATATACATACACATCAGATAGGATCAGATAACATCTGGTTATTTAACATAGCCATGGAAGCCATGGCCCATAGAAATAGATGGTTTACCTATGGTTTACCGTTCTTAAAAATGGGTGGATCTTTCCATGGCCATGGCCCATGGCAGATGCTTTAAGATGCTTGGCCCTGAATCCGTCCCTTCTTACGTCCCAGGAAGGCCGTGAAGAATGCCACTGGGCCGATGTTTTGGGATGGCCGTTGTGCCTCTTGGAGGTTCTAAAACATCTACCCGGCCTGGTAAACATAGAAAAAGCTATTGAAAATGCCCATTTATAGTGGATTTACCCATTGAAAATGGTGATTTTCCATAATTATGTTAGTTTACCAGAGGGTAAAACCTTTGGGGTTTGGTTGAAACATCGGTTACTATCATCAAAAAAGTGATGTGGTCGTTGGCCCATTGACCGTCAATCATGTTTCGATGAGGGTTCGAAACCGAGGTTCGCACTTCGTCGACAGCCACAGTTTTATGTCCTTCTTTTTAGTCCTCACAGCCACTCGGCAGAGGGGAAAATTGCCTGGGAAAGCCATCCCACAGATGACCCCAAAACACTCCGCCGCGTCAGGTCTATGCACTGTTCGCACAGGACCGCTGTTGAAGCTGGCGGGTCAAAACCTACAAAATCCCAATCTGTTTGGGATGAACATCCCTAAATCCCAGCATATGGGGGTTGGAAAACCCAAGCGGCTAGCAGGGTCAAATGACCCGAGTTTTGCCGTCATTGCGAGGATTTGGACACCATTTATGGGACGCCGCAATCCAGATTCGTGATGAGTATCGTTGCTTGGTGGTGGAATGCTTGGTACATGTATTATGAATATAGTTGTCCAAATAGATGGGAAAAGTATATCCATGTATATATATATATCAGTATATCCGTATATCCCTATTTATTTGATGGTGATTTGCAAAATTCCATCTATTTCAACATTACTATACTGGTTGGTGGTTTCAAACATGAATTTTATTTTCCATTTCATATATGGGATGTCATCCTTCCCATTGACGAACTCCCATTTTTCAAGATGGTTTTTGCACCACCAACCAGGATAAGATGATATAAGATGTTATTTCAGCTTAGTTTTTTCGGGATAAAAAATCCCAATTTATGGAGGTTATTGCCATCCCAATTATAATCAAATTTCAACATTACTATATCATTTTTGGGTGACGGCTTGATTGCAGTTGGAGCTTATGGCCCTTCAGATCCTTTATGGGGCTTATGGGCTGGTCATGATCCGCTGATCCGCATCATTTCGGCAGATTTTGTTAGGTGGTGGGAGGTTTCAACCATATTTTTCCACCTGATTGGAAATTGATGAGCCAATTGCTCCATTTTTTTTAAAAAAGCTATCTTCGACTGAGATGGGTTTTAAACGTTTGAAATCCATTGAAACCCACCACAGAAAGAAACACACAGCGACCCTCTCAGCACTCGCAGCATTCGTGGAACCCAGGTCAGCACGATCATCTTCGGTCTGTTCTTTATCGATCCTCGGTTGCTGGATGTCCCACAAGGAAAGTTGCGGGATGATCTTGCGGGGCTGTGCAGGATTGGAAAGTGGCAGAAGTGCAGGATCTTTCTCATCTGAGATGATTATCTGGTTGGTGGTTTGGAACATGAATTTATGACTTTCGAATTATTGGGAATAATCACTGACTTTCCTATTTTTCAGAGGGGTGGCGAAAAACCACCAACCAGTTATTGATTGTTTGACTTAGCGTGATTGGCTGCCAGCCATTCTCTTCCGCTCTGCGCCGTTTTTTCCTTGTCCGAGTTTTGGGCAATGGCGGCCACAGGATTGGCAAAAGAACCCATGCAGTCATTGTAGCTGCAGCTTCAAATAATTGCTTTTGATATATATATACATAACTAGGTGGATCTATCTAGAAAAGACACACACAGAAGATCCATGGAAAATCCCAGCCGTTCTGGTGTTAGGCATCGCCTCAAATCATCGCCGGTTCTAAGGAGCTGGTGCTTCAATGTGCCACGGCAGTTGGGGAGTTATCACTGGACAGCTGAGGAAAACTAGATGTTAGGTTCATCAGTTCATGTTGATTCTTTGGATATAAAACCGTATGTATATAACATATGCAGCATATATATATATATATAGTTGTATATACATACAACACACACATATATATGTATATATATATATACATATACACATAGTATACACACATGGTTGTACCTAGGTGTTTTTATGAGGATATCTAGATATACAGACGAAGCTCGTCTAGATGGAGCCACTTGTGGCATTCACAAAAATCTGCCAGCGGCGCCACCTGCGAGGTTTCTTCAAAGCTGGCTATTCTTTCAGAGCTTTTTTCTGGCTGGACATTGTGGCACTGTCGCTGAGCTGAAGCTGGAACTAGGCGAGCTGCAGTGTGCAGCAGTGTGAGGAGTGCACAGCAATCCTGGCTTCACATTTTAACAAGAGTGGATAAGCATCAATGGGGTCTCAGACTGAGCAACTTATGGGGATATAACACGTAATGGTTTCAATATAGACAAATAGCTAGAGAGAATGGGGATCATGTTGATTGGTTATCAAATGAGCAGTGATACTACCTGGTTATTGAGGATTATGAACTGAGCCACATGAATGGGAAACTGTTTTCAACCAACTAGTATAATGAGATGGGATTGGGGTATGTTCAATGTCTCATTAACCATCATTAACCATCATTAACCATCATTAACCATCATTAACCATCATTAGCCATCATTAACCATCATTAACCATCATTAACCATCATTAACCATATAATAACCATATAAGACCCATTCAATGCTGTGATTGATCCTTGAGAGACTTGCTAACTGGTGAAGATCCTGATGGCCTTGCCGCCTTGCCTTTTCCCCATCATGGCACCTTGATCAGAGAACCATCACATCCCAAAGCCATTTCACAATGTATGTAATATATACATTGCATAGTCACTCCCCCAGAAAAGAAAAGGTTCAATTCATCACTATTTGAGTGGGCGTTTTCTTCTTTTTAGTGTTTTCTGATGTTTTCTGTATATAGACACGCGCACACAAATCATATCACATATATAACACATACATATGCCGTAAGAAGCTGCATTCCCTCATTTCGTCACCGGAAAGCCACTGTATCCGTTGTTTTCCGGATGCAAGGTGGCTCCCCTAGTTGCAGTATAATATAAGTTGGTTTATCGATCCCAGGTAAGATCAGGTAAGTATACATAGAGATAAACCAACTATGGGGCACTCATATCAAGTTGAGTAAGTCGATAGATATGATCTCAGTTTTTATATGATCATCATATTATATATATATTATATTTATATATATATATGTATATATCTATATCTATACATGTGCATCATGAATTCCCGTGACATTCCCATGACATTCATGGCCATCCCTTGGCTTCCCATGGCCGGTGGGGAACCATGGCCATCCCTTGGCGCGGCACAACCGAGGATTTCGCTGTTGCCAGAGACCTGGTTTGTTCAGCAGCTCTTCAACAGCGATACCTTGGTGGCGGGTCGCTCCACGCGCCTCATGAAGGTAAGGACGACCGGGATGGGGATGGGATGGGGATGGTGATATAGTTATATTATTAACTATAGTTATGAGTAATATTAATCATTAGTTATTAAATCACTATAGTGATATCACTATAATTAGTTATTAAATCACTATAGTAATATTAATCACTAGTTATTAATCATTAGTTATTAAATCACTATAGTGATATCACTATCATTAGTTATTAATCATTAGTTATTAAATCACTAACATATTAAATCACTATAGTGATAATTTATTATCATTAACGGGGATGGGGATGATGACGGATGGGATGGGAAGATCCCCACAAAATATGGCCTTAAACATATGGTACAGTAATGTACAGTACCTCCATGTATTGGATCCTGAAGATCTCCCATTGAAAAATGGATGGATGTAGAAATAGCTGGAAAAATGTGGAAAAATGGTGATGGGTTGACTTGATGTGATGTGTTTTTTCCTCACAGGTTCCTGGACATTTTTCGGGGTTTGGTGGACCGGCATGGCTACCCTGTCCCACTTTGGAAGTCAGCTGGCTAGTAACAGGACTATTTCGGCTCCCTGAAACGTAGCTTTTAGCGACCCCGAGAATGTCCAAAATAGATAGAACCACTAGAGACCTGGAAATTCTACAACACCCTGGTTTGTTTTTTTATTATCCATTTGGTTCCCAATCCATCGACCATGGCATTTTTCAGTTGCTGGATTACTCAAATCAAGGTGCCAATGGCGGTTGCGCATCCCTCTTAGTCTTTTGGGTAGCCCCGTGCTTTGAAGATCATTTTCCTCTTGCTTCATGTCGCTTCCTTTTATCATTTCTTTATCATTTCCTTCGTCATTGGTTTCCGAGAAAACACTACGCCCCCCCAAAAAGCCCATCTTCAATGCTACCCTCTGGTAAACTAACGTAGCTATGGAAAATCACCATTATGAACGGGTAAATCACTATTTCTATGGCCATTTTCTATGTCGCAAACTGTTAGTCATTACCAGTGTAAAGGGTTTTGAGCCATCAAAACTATGGGGATATTCCCATCCCATAGGATCCATGTATGCTATATATATGGTAACATGGATTTCATCAATATACCCCCAATGTTAGCCATGGATCCTATGGGCATATTCCCATGATATTCCCATTGATATTGCCATGGAATGCTTGATCCCAACGAGGGTCATCCCAAACGGAACGGCTGCCTCGATATATAGGCGATCCGTTTGGTGGTGCGATCCTCCAAGGCCAGAAATCTGGGCACATTCTGATGTGGATGAGGATAAACCATTAGATATGATATTTAGATAGATAGATAGATAGATAGATAGATTAGACTAGACTAGACTAGACTAGATTAGACTAGATTAGATAGAGAGATAGATAGATAGATAGATAGATAGATAGATAGACTAGACTAGACTAGACTAGACTAGACTAGACTAGATGAGATAGATAGATAGATAGATAGATTAGACTAGACTAGACTAGACTAGACTAGATTAGACTAGATTAGATAGATAGATAGATAGATAGATAGATTAGACTAGACTAGACTAGACTAGATTAGACTAGATTAGATAGAGAGATAGATAGATAGATAGATAGATAGATAGATGGATGGATATATATATAAGTTCTTGGATATATTTTTGGATATATGAATATACATATTGTATATATATATACATTCTCACTAGCAATATTGGATATATATATATATATTCAAAATCACAATATTGGATATATATATATAAAATCATTGGATTAATTTTGGGTACCTTGTTTCAGAAACATCCAGTTGGGAAAATGATGCTAACAAGGTTGATTTGAATGCTATATCCGTTGTGAACGTGGCTCGGGCTAGGAAGGATGAAGGATGGACATCGGGTCAAGCCAGCTGAAACCATCCTGTTTGGGTTTCCATTTTCTGACGCTGGTAAAGAAACCACAATTTGGTCAAAACCCCTATGACGTAGCGACGTAGCACTGAAATCACATGTTAATGGATACCCTTTGGTAATTAAGATAGCTATGGAAAATCACATTTTTTAATAGGTAAATCCATCTGACTAAATGGGCCATGGCTTCCAGTTCGCAGATCCGACCTAACAAGTTACCGGGGGGTAAATCCTATTCACATTCCATGAACATCCTAATCGTCCCATAAATATCCCATTCATATCCCATGATCCAATTGATATCCCATGAATACCCCATAAATCTCCCATTTTTGGAGGGGTTTCACCTGTTTTTTTCCTCACCACAGATAGGGAGTTTCTCGACAGGCAACAAGGCTCAATCGTTTCACGCGAATGGCCGCTGGGCTGCTAGCTGTGGCTCAGTATGCTGACATCGATTCAAAAAAAACTCACAAACTATGGCTGGTTGGTGGTTTGGAACATGAATTTTATTTTTTTCCCATATATTGGGAATAATCATATATATATATATATATATTGGGAATATGGTAATTATTGGGAATAATATTGGGGATAATATTGGGAATGTCATCATCCCAACTGACGAAGTCCATCATTTTTCAGAGGGGTGGCGAAAAACCACCAACCAGATGGGGATTCCAATTTTTTTTTGCCCTCTGGACATGCCTGGGACATCCCGAACCCCCCAGCCGAGGTGAAAATGCTGGGAATATCGAACATTGCATGGTGGGAATATGCGAGCCATATTTGAAGCATAGGAACACTACAACCCATTGAGAAACGATAGGGAAAAAGACTTCCCCACTTTTTTTTAATCATCGGATCCTAAACCATTGTTCAACATCATAATGAAGCGCATGAACAATCCTTTTGTTCCATTTATAGACTGTTTCAATGTTGAAAGGACCTGGAACAGAACCATCAGCAGTATCGTTAAGAAGTTGGTTGTGAAATTGTCCCAATCACCATTTTCTAATGATATTTAATATATTAATATATATATATATATAATATAATAATATCTCATTACATTCTCCAGTTATATATTTATATATTGCATGGCTTTGTCCGAAAATTGGGTATCCAAGAGTCCGGTAGTTTATCATCATTTTCCCTGATTTTCCATCCTAAATAGCTATTTTTGGGGTATACCCCATTTCGAGACACACACACACACATATATATATATGATATGCAGGATGGTGCTCCCCAGTTATGTTTGTTGGTTTAAAAACCCCATGGACTAGTTCGTTGTATCTACCATAAACCAGAGAATTATCGCCATAGCCATGTATCTCAACTGAACGCTATCTGAAGGGGGCCCCAATAGACCCATATGGCATATGGCTTTGGTATAATCCTCTAAATTTTCCCTGGAATCACTACATTAATCACTATATTAATCACTATATTAATCACCATAAAAACCATCTACCCTCTGGTAAACTAACATAGCTATGGAAAATCACCATTTTTCAATGGAAAATCAACTATAAATTGCCATTTTCAATAGCTATGTTAAAATTACCAGAGGGTATCTTCACCATCTTGAGGGCCCCCATCCTGTATGATCCAATTATATGTATCTTCCCACCATGCCCAGGTCCGTGTCTCCGCCATGCTGCCGAAGATGTGCGCAGGTTGGCACCGGAAGTGCTCTGGCGAAGCGTTTGATGGCACTGATGGCTGAATTCGAGAATTATCCACCAAATAAAGATGGGCATATTTTTTGACAATCCTAGACTCTATCTACTTCAGGATTATTATTGATTATTGTTGTATTATGTTATATATACATATTCATGCATCATCATTTCATCATTTGTCCGATCAAACTGGCGAATCTTTCTGATTTGAGAATTGCTATACCAAAAACTTTTGCCCAGAGGATGGTGATATAAATAAATATATACATGTATAAATAAATAAATACATATATACATATGTATATTTACATATATATATATACATACATACACACACATATATATATATGTACATGCATGTATACACATACACACACACATATATATACATACATACTAAGGTGTGGTGACTGCACTTAGGACTGGGATCTCTCCATCTCTAACTCCTGCAGCTTTTCATGGAAACAAGTCATCCCGTAGCTGGCGAGCTCGCTGGGGATCATCCCCATAGCCGTATGATGACAGCTATAGGATCAATGGGAATTTCAGGATCCCAAATTGGAGGTACCCTCTGGTGAACTAACATAGCAATGGAAAATGGCTATTTATAGTGGATTTTCCCATTAAGAATGGTGATTTTCCATTGCTATGTTAATTCACCAGAGGGTACCTACCATATATAAGGCCTATTTTTTAGGGCAATGTAAGGGAATATCCCCAGAATTCATATGGCCAAACATATGGTACGTTCACGTACCTCCATCAATTGGATCCTGAAATTCCCATTGATAGGATACCCTCTGGTTATTTAACATAGCCATGGTATAGATGGCCCATAGAAATAGATAGTTTACCTATTAAAAATGGTGATTGTCCATGGCTATGTTAAATAACCAGAGGGTAGTGAATTAGTATAGTTCAGCCAGCTAATATTGCTGTTCTTGTTGTCATTACTATTGTTATGGTCACAATGATTGATACAGGATATATATTTTTTATTCCCATCGTTGTGGCTATTGATCGTTTTCCTTTCTATCATGATGGCTACTCTTACTTTACCTTCATTTTTAAAACTGACAGTGGTTACTAACTAATCTAGTTATATAATGACCATTGTAGTTAATAAATACTAAGTGTATAGAAATTTTCTATAAATAATGCCATCATTTTTCTATAATACCATCTAGAAAATCTATAAAACCACAATTCTATCTATAATAATATCATAGATTTCTATAATTTGTTGTGGTAGTTTGTGGTTGTAGCATTCTGGCGCCGACTTCCCTGAAGCCGAGGCCTGAAGAGAACAGCAAAGACGTCGCCTGACATCTTGGGGGATGCTGGTAGACTAGTGGTTGAAATGATGTGAGTCAAACATAGTTACCCTCTGGTAAACTAACATAGCTATTGAAAATGGCCATTCATAGTGAGTTTTCCATCAAACATGGTGATTTTCCATAGTTATGTTTGTTTACCAGAGGGTAAACCACCAATGGAAGAGTTGCCAGTGATGCATCCAATCAAAATCCATCAATTTCACTCAAATTCACCCAGCTTTTGCACCTCTGGTACGAGAAGATAAGGGAAGATCACCTTTCAAGCTGGAATTTTCAAGTTTCTTTTGGGGTCGTTTCCGGCCATGGTGATGGCCCATGGGCCATGGCATGCCACCGCGGATCTATGTCTGAGGTGGATAATCTGGTGGAGAGAAAACTGCATCGGATCTATGTCTACTTAGCTTCCTGGTCGGCAAATGGCGAAAATGGCGACAAGAATTGCAGAATCATGGGAACATCATGGGGGTAACTGGGGTAACTATGCAAAATTCATGGGGAAGTCATTTTTTTACATCATGGGAGATGTGTGACGAATGGTAAATTTTTGGAGAGGTTTTCAGAGGTCACTGGGCTGAGTTGAGCTAACCGGGCAAGTCTGAGTATGACCCCCAAATGGCAAGTCTAAGTGATGGCTATTTTCTGCTATTTTCCTAGTTGATGCTAGTTGAGAATGCGGGCAACAACAACATATACTGCTTGGTGGTTTGGAACATGAATTTTATTTTTCCATATGTTACGAATGTCATCATCCCAACTGACGAACTCATATTTTTCAGAGGGGTAGGTATACCACCAACCACCAGTATAACAAAATTCTTCAGCAAAACCTGTCAGGTCAATAAATTCCATGATTCCAGCCATAGATGTCCTTTTCCCGTTGGTTGGTTGATTAATAGAGGGGTTTGTTTACCTCTTTAACAACAGGTAAATGATGATAGATGGTATACCAAACCGGCCCCTCTATTGATTCTTCAGCTGGTTTCACCATGCCGACTTGAGGAAAGAGAAAACGATGGCTTAGTTACTGGAGATATGGCTGATGCCATCATCCGACGCATCACCAAAAGAAGAAAACATAGGCGCCGCCGGAAACGTTCTGCCAGAAGGGGTGTGATGGTTACCCTTTGGTAAACATACACAAAGCTATTGAAAATGGCCATAGAAATAGTGAGTTTTCCCATGAAAATGGTGATTTTCCATAGTTTTTTGTATGTTTACCAGAGGGTAGATTGCCAGAAAGTGCCGTTGGAATGGGAATGGCTTTGCCACTTCAAGAGCATTGAGAAAAATTCCGCATGGTATGTGATGTCTTTGAAATTGTACCAGCAGATGGGGCAAAATCAGTGCCAGAATGTGGTAGTTTTTTTTTGAAATAGCTTTTGATGTGTCCATCTGGCAGTCCATCTGGCACTGAAAATCATCAAAGTCGTCCTGCAACTGCAGTGCCACGGTCTATTGCTATGGCCACAGTCATGGGGGTACCCCAAATCATTCAGTCGTCATGGATGACCCTGAAATAGTATTGAAACCCATGGTGACTTGGGGATCACCCAATTTAAGAACTTCCCATATGTGTAAAACCAATATGTATATAAAAACCATTGACTTATAAAGCGCCTGAGAATTGATATGACAACTGCATCTTCATCTATGAAGGTGAAGAATCAATCTGCATGATACCATTTTTTTTAAAAAATCGAAGGGGTCGATTGGGATAGAATTGGGTAGACCCATCTCACTGGATTTTTTTGATCCACATATATACGGTATTGGAAGTTTCATTGGATCCAGATGGTTCAAACACTATTTTTTATGGGGTTCATCCTCCCAATTTGGATCCTAATTTTGCTGATATGATATACATCCCAGTACATGAAATATTCCCATTATATCCCTATGATTAGTCATAACAGTAAAAATCATATTTTACAATATGCAATGAGATATAAATATGATGTATGATTATGATATGATGATTCTCTATAATGATAACAATGAGGTATAACCCCTTCCCCCTAATACTAAACGTCCAACTTAAAAAATCACATGGGCCAACTTGAAATGTCACAAAATCGGGTATGGACCCCAGTCTTTTAATATTTGGGGGACGGTTAGTAATAGGTCGAAAGGATGAATACCTTTCATTTCAAAAAATGATGAGAAAACACGTTCATTTCCCAGACCCCCAAACCACCAACCCAAACCACCACATAAGCACACTTTGTTGATAGGGATTGATAGGGGGAAAGAATCAATAGGGATCTAGATCCTACCCTAGGGTAAACTAAGATAGATGTGGAAAACCCATGGGGAACCCCCAGGATAGGTTGCCATTGGGTAAGTAGGTTTACTTATGGTTTAATCTGCCATTGCAGTAAATGCCCATTTACACATGTTGATTAATGCCTATTATATCGCAAGTATATCCCCATGTAGATGGGTCTTTAATGGGGTTAACCTGATGTTGATATGTTAATGACCATAATAAGAATCCCATAAATAACTGGTTGAAAACGGGGATTACTACAAAAAACAACATATGTAATCCCCATATATTTCTAAAGTAATAAACCCAATAAACCCATACAGGATGGTGCCCCCCAGTTATGTTTGTTGGTTTAAAAACCCCATGGACTAGTTCGTTATATCTACCATAAACCATAGAATTCAGCCACGGCCATATCTCACAACTGAACGCTATCTGAAGGTGGCCCCAATAAACCCATATGGCATATGGCTTTAGTATAATCCTCTAAATTTTCCTTGGAATCACTACATTAATCACTACATTAATCACTATATTAATCACTATATTAATCACCATATTAATCACTATATTAATCACCATGAAAACCATCTATATTCGCCACGAATCACCATTAATCAACATTAATCACCATATTAATCACCATTAATCACCATAAAATCCCCAGAAAAGCTCAGACCCCCCTTGAAAACTCCAGGCGGAGCATCACTCGGCTCCTGACCAAGAAGTTCGGTGCCGGCCCTTCGATGACGCGACAGAACTCCGACGTCTCGGAGGTCGTGGCCGGCGGATGGCGGTGGGATGGCGGTGGGTCGTTGCGCCATGGGAAAATGGGGAGAAAACGTGGGAGGATTGGGAGAAAACCGTAGCCTCTGGTAAACTAACATAACTATTGAAAATGGCCATAGAAATAGTGAGTTTTCCCATGAAAAATGGTTATTTTCCATAGTTTTTCGTATGTTTACCAGAGGGTAGCCTAAAATGGAGCACTGGGAAATGGAGAAATGAACATGGAGGACCCGAAGAAAAATACATGAAATGCTTAAAGGTGAGACCCAGCGTTCAGTTCCCAACCTTTGATGGTTGATCTTGAGTTTTTTGTGGTTGGCTCCCTTTGCACAAAAACACCAAAAAGATCCAAAAAGCCTGATGTAGTAACTAATGGTTTGCAACCCATTTATCCAAGCGAGAATATTCCAGTAGTATCCACTAGTACTGCTTGGGTCATCATTAGTGGAACCCATTACATTATATCTGGGTAAATTATAACGACCTCACTGCGACCTCACTGGAATCATGGTTAATAAGGGAAATGATCCCCAAATGGCCTTAATTCAGGTTAGTGAAATATTCTAATTTACCCAGATTATATGATCATGTATGATCCAACTGGGCATATTCGATTCAACTAAGTGGAAGATTCTTTGCTTCTTGTCCACCATCTGGGATGCGTTCCATGCGTTCCATGCGTTCCACGTCGCAGCTGTAGCCAGGCGGATATTTCCCCGCAGACGACGGCGAAAACCTTCGGGTCGCGACCACGCAGCAGAAGTGTTGTGGTGAGGCACGCATTTTGTGGCATGAAATGAGGCGCTGAAGACCCAAATGGCGAGAAAATTGGATACCCTCTGGTAATTTAACATAGCTATTGAAAATGAGCATTTATAGTGGATTGTCCCATTGAAAATGGTGATTTTCCATAGCTATGTTAGTTTACCAGAGGGTAACATACTTTTGAAATCTTTTGAAACACATTAGGTTTCCATTTCCCCCTGGTTTAAATTCTGTGAGTTGATTCCACTGGATATGTTGCGAAATGATGTTTAGATATACTGTATATAATTTGGTGAATTCAGGCTGTGTTAGAGGCATCTAACAGCATACCACTCTGGTTTAGTACTGGATGATAATATGATGATATTAGGGGTGCCATATTAGAGGTGTATTAAACATGAGTAGGGGGCTGTCGTTAAAGACAAGTCCGACACCCTCCGGGAATCAAAAGTGGCTGGAAAATCCCCTCCGGTAAATGGAGGTAATGAACTTTATTCAGTACTAATTTCTCTGGTCATCACACATGGCAATGGAGAATCTCTTAATAAATGGAGGTTTAGCTATTTAATTTATAGCTGAGAAAGTCATCGAACTATGTGGGAATTTCCAGCCAAAGCCATGGAGCTGAGAGAATCACATCAAGATCCGTGGAAAAGCCTGTTAAGATCCATGGGCAATTCCATGATCCATATTAAAAATCATGATTTTATGCCACTAAGATCCATCTAAGATCCATCTAAGATCCATCTAAGATCCATCTAGTTTTCCTGAAAAATTGGATCCATATTAGATACCCTCTGGTTATGACTAACAGTTTGCCATGGAAAGATCCACCATTTTTAATAGGTAAACCATCTATAAATAGGCCATCTATACCATGGCTATGTCAGTTATAACCAGAGGGTACATTTTCTGCATGGAGCAGTTCCAGTCCCCTTTTTTGATTACTTTTCGAGGAGCACCTACAGTGACGGTGCCGACGGCGAGGGCACTGCCAGTATGGCCATGGGCAGACGCTTGAGGACTGATCAGCGTCAATGGCCCATATGGGGGGGTTTCCATAAATGGATGTACCCCCCATAGCTGGATGGTTTATATGGAAAAACCATCCATCAATGGATGATTTGGGGGTACCCCCATTTCAGGAAACCTCCATATGTCTCCATATCCTTTGATGATGTTTACCAGTTTACCAGCCATAAAAGCGGTGATGACTTGGGGCTGGTTTATGGGGTTTACCAGGGTTTACAAATGTTTACCACATTTTCGGGAGTTTCAGGACCCAAAAATGAAGGTACTGCACCTTCTTTGAGACCATATTTTGGGATGATGTTCCTTTAGATTGACGTGTCATAGGCCTGAAAAATGTGGTAGGTACCTTCAATTTAGATACCTGAAATGGCCAAATATGTGATCGTATTATGCATTCCCAATATTGTGAAAATCCCCCATTCTTATGCGTGTCTAGTTCTACAGGGAGCCCATCGGAACCCAACATTTTTAGATATTTTTTTGAGTTTATATAATATTTCTCTCCAATTGTTAAATACCACGCTAAAGGCCTTGGCCTAGGAGTGAATCTAAACATGACTGGAATCCCTTGTTGGGGCGTGTAATATCAGGGGGAAGTGATTTTTGTTTACTATTTTCTATCATTGCTAGTATTGCCAATCATAAGTTCTACTGCTATTATTGTCGGCATTGCCATCCATAGTTGAGCTACTGTAATCCACAGTCATTAATCAAATCATGTGATGAATACATTGTTGATTTCTGTGTGTTATTCTGAATCGCTGTGCCACTTCGTGATTATGGGATATTATGATAATGGGCATTATTTGATCAGGTCAGACTATAACATACATAACTGGTTGGTGGTTTCAAACATTTTTTAATCTTCCATATATTGGGAACTATCATTAACTATCATCATTAACTATTTTCCCATATTTTGGGAATGTCATCATCCCAACTGACGAACTCATATTTTTCAGAGGGGTGGCGAGAAACCACCAACCAGATGATCTCTTTGGTCTGTACGGAGGGTTTGACCGTTTGACGCTGGTAGAGAGGCTGTCACCTTCACTGGCCGAAATTTGTGGTTTAGCATCATCACATGAGATGTGGCAAGTAATTACCCGGCCTGGTAAACGTTTACAAAAAACTATGGAAAATCACCATGTTATAGCTGGGTAGTTATCAACTATTTCGATTAGGGCCATGGCTTCAATGTCGCAAACTGTGTGCACGTTTACCGGGCCGGGCATCTCGTACACCCAATGGTAAACGGATGTAAATTTGGAGATGATTTCAATCCCAGCCCTGATAATCTTGGTGAGGGTCTATGGAGTCTATGGCATTGGGTTTACCACATCATTTATACATTTGTTCCCACCCAATTTTTTGGAATGTCCCCAAAAATTGGTTCACGGAGAAATCTGCAGGACATCCCAAAAATCATGGTTTCCTTCCTGGTTTCCTGGGACACCCCATCGATTTTTCCAGGTTCCTGCCATCGTTTTTTGGATCGACAGGAGGATGCAGACCAACTACACCACGCACACGACGCACACGGATCAAAGCAACGTGAGTCAGACAGCCCCTTGACGCAACGCGAGGTGTGCGTGACGTGTGCGTGACCAAAAATCCCCAAAGGAGACGATGAATATGGAGAAGTGTCATTTTTAGTATGGAAGGATTGTATCTATAGTGGAACATTAATATGGAATATCCTGATATGGAAAAACATATGGAACATAATATGGAACATAATATGGAACATAATATTGATAGTGGAACATTAATTAATATGAATATCCTGATATGGAATATCCTGTTCCACAATATGGAACTACCCGATATGGGTGATTTTTAGTATGAAGGCATGCATTCTTCTAAAGTTGGGATTTGATGATTTTGACTCCCTAAATATGTTCATATCAGAGAACCATCACTATGAAAAGCTGAGAATGTGGATTTTCCACTTGCAGGCTGGTTCTGGTTTGTAGGGAAAATTCTTCCAGAACTTCTGCCGTTGCTCAACCGAGTGTTGATTCACGGAAAACCAGAGGTTTTACCCTCTGGTAAACTAGTTCGCTGCGCGAACTGGAAAATCACCACTTCAGAGGTAAATCAACTATTTCGACTGGGCCATTTTCAATAACAGTGTTAGTCATTACCAGGGGATAAACCATCACAAACCATCAGATTTCAGGGGTTTTAGGATCAACCCAAGGGACCCAAGGGCTGTCCCGACGAACTTCGATAACAAATCACCATCCACGATTAGATGTTCCTGAAAAAACCTCCCATTTATCACCAGTCATGGTGAAGTTTCCATAGGAAAAAAACCATTGATTGGGATATTTCCATATACACTCCGGTTGGTTATTTAGCATAGCTATGGACAATGGCCCATAGAAATAATTTCCCGAAGTGTTAACCCTCTGTCTCAGTCCCATGAAATGATATATTCCCATGATTGTTACATCATGAAATATCAATTTTTACAGGCACACACACACACGTGTATATATATATATATTCAATATATCAAAAATCCCATACTATCTATTATAGATTAGATGATGGATAGTATGAGAGATATCTATCTATATATCTATATCTATATATATAGTACTATTAAATACAATAGCTAGGGACATTACATATCATATTTCTATGTTTTCCCTGCAGATTCCCTGGATGCTGAGGAGAGCTGTATGCGTGGCACAAGGAGTCCAAGTCGAAGTAAAGGTGGAGGGGTCACCATCAGGAGCCGCACGTCATGGCAGCTTTCAGGGATCTGATTGGAACGAGATTTGGTGAATGTGGGTAAAACAATGTACTCGTATTTCACATGTCATGTGGAATCAACCATGGCCGAGATTTGTGAAAAAAATATATCCCATGTTTTGCAGAATAATGTCATGGGATATATATTTCACATGTGGACTTGCCTGGATATACTGAGTCTTGGCCTGTTTCCATCATCAATCCAGCAATAGTAAAACCCAACAATAGACAATCCCCTCAATGACCATCTATAGTTGGTGGTCGTATAAATATGTAGAAACCATCCCCTTAAATGGTAGGCTTTATGGCAGCCAGGGTGATATCCCACATTCTTCTCCACTTCTATCCCACTAGAATTGGATGATGGGAACATTTTAACCGGAAAGCCCGATCAATTTGATGGTCAAAACCCATGGGTTTCCGGTGAAGATTTTCCCAAGAAAACCAATCCATTGAACTATTGTTGCTTGGGGATCTCCACATCCCCATCATTTCCACGTCAGGTTCACCATACCGTGCCATCCTTATGTTTCCAGGATCGAGGACGGGGAAGGCACCGAGAGCATGGCCATGGGCGAAACTGCCAGTGTCCCTGTTGGCCGGGTGGGCCCCAAAGTGGACGACACGGAGACCATCAGCAGCAGCGAAACGGTTGCGCGACGTGTGGAGATCCTGGGCGATGGTTTTTCCAGTGGGAATCCTCTGGAGGATTTACCCTCTGGTAATTTAACGTAGCTATTGAAAATGACCATTTATAGTGGATTTTCCCATTAAAAATGGTGATTTTCCATAGTTATGTTAGTTTACCAGAGGGTAATGGACTATTTTTTGGAGGCCACTCCAAGGAAGAACGTGCGACTATTTTTTTTAACCCTATTACTTTGGGAGAATCAGGATAAACTATCCAGATTGGCTATCTCCATGGGGACAATGGTGATGAAACATCAGATTTGCAGGGTGATTGTTTTTTTTTTGGTGTTTAGAGAAGCACAAATGGTTGGTCAGTGATGTTAAAAAATGGGATGATCAAGGGGATATCATGACTGGTTGGTCAGTTAGGGATTACTATGCCTGTCATCCTGGGTCATTTTGCCACTCAAATCCCGGAAGGTGTGCTCTATTCTTCTCAATTCTCTTGGGGGGAAAGAGGCAGATTCCAATCATATGGAACTCCGTACGAGCTGCTGCCGGACTGGCCAGCGTGTTTGCAGATAGCACGGCAGCCACCCTTGACCTGGAAGATTAAAACAGACATCAGGTCTTGTTCCAAAGATCTTGTATAGGATTAACTACTAACTGCTACATACCCTCTGGTAATTTAACATAGCTATGGAAAATCACCATTATTAATGGGTAAAACAACTATAAATGGGTCATTTTCAATAGCTATGTTAAATTACCAGAGGGTATTACTACGTAATGTGAACCCTGGAATAATAAACCACGTTTACGGCTGTTTAATTGGGGGAATACCATTTAAGTATCAGATGAAATGACTATCGGAGGAGTACCCCCCAAATTGTCATAAACCATGGTTTATTAATCCGGGGTTGACATTGCTATTAGTAATCAGCATGGATTAACATGGAGTAACATGGATTAACATGGATTAACTACTAACTGCTACATATTACTACGTACTATTAGTAATCTAACCCGGCCCATTGTCGAGGATTGATTCTCCTTTCTTGTTTCCCCCATGGCCGTCCCAGCCTCAGGAAGATCCAGACGTATCGATCGCTCCACAGCAACCACAGCACGCCACTTCCGGTCTCCCGGCTGCGCCACGATGGGATTCTGGGGGGAAAAAGTATGAACAAGTTCACCAGATTTAGCGCCAGATGGCATCTGGCGAAGATTTCACAACTTAAAATGGTGAACAATCTTTGAGAAATGATTCTAAACTTGCTGTGAGAAATGATTCACTTCTTTTTTTCTCGGGTTCTTTGAGAATCAAGATCCGAAAAATCGGCGATGATTCTCACCTTATCAGGCATCCCATCCCATCCCGATTTTTGGGGCAGATGACTGGCGCTGTGTAGAACTCACACCACCGAGGCGGTCAAGAAAGAGCCACTTGACTGAAGTGGACTTCCGATCAGAATCGGAAAGCAATCAGAATATTCAACTCATATGAGTAATTCATATATATTAATATATAAATATGTATAGAAATTCAATTTTTCAATCATAATATCCAACAATATATTCATATAACTATATCAAACTATGATATTCAAATCAATGTGAGGCAATAGGATTGACCATCCCCAATTTGACAACATTTTTTTATGGGTGGTATAAACATCTTTAAACCATCAATCCATATGGGTTTTCGATGCTTTACAGATCAACCATGGCAACTCCTGATCGGTTTTACGAAGTCAGGATCAATGACTTTGGTCCTGATGAGCCTGAAAAATGTGTTGTTGCTTGCACCTTAAGCTCTTTTTTTGGGAGGGCAGGCTAGTTTGAAAGTCAATAGGTGCAACTTCAAGATTCAAGAAATTCAAGACTCTGACAGAAAAAGTACGAACCAGTTCTTTTTGAATCTTTTTGATACTTACTGATATATACTGATATCCTTTTACCTGATTTGCCAATGATCATCATGGGGCGATGATTCGATGCTCCCCCATCGGCTTTGCAGAAAACTGCAGAAAACCCATTCCATTACAGAGATCCGGACACATCATGTTGAGTATATCTAGGTAATCTATATACGTATACATTTTTTTTATATCAGGCTATCATGAGTTTACCCTATCCGAATCTATCCCACTATATGGCTGTGTATCAGGAAAAACAAACTCCATCACATCTCCATCACATCTCCAAAGCTTTGGAGCTTTTTGAATCCCCGGCTGTTTTCAATGGGAATTTCAGGATCCTGAACTGGAGGTACGTTAGTGCCATATGTTTGGCCATATTTTGTGAGGATATTCCCTTACATAGGCCTGAAAAATAGGCCAAAAATATATGGTAGGTACCTCCAATCAATCGGCTCCTGAGTCATGGCCATTGATGTTTGGGGCTTACTTTGCCAAACACATCGTAAGGTCCAGTTCTGGAGATGAGTTGAACCAGGAACTTCCGTGCCTTGGCGTTCCACGCCACCGGTGAACGCCACCATTGGTTGATCCACCATGTTCAACTGGGGATTTCGCAACCATCCAGTAGTATTTCACGATTAGTATATGTGGATTAAGATGACTGACTATAGAAGTACATTAAATGTAGATTAGTATTAGTTCTCTGCAGTATCTGTAAATCCGAACATTGTCTCTTACCATTGGTATGTACATTACACATGGTACCCTCTGGTAAACGTTTAAATAGCTATGGAAAATCACCACGCTATTAATGGGTATATCCACTATTTCTATGGCCGTTTTCAATAGATTATTTTGACATCACCCATGGTAAGTGAAACGCTTTTACCAAACACCGATCCCGATTCAGCTACAGGTGGAAACGTGGGATCAGCGATCCGGTGAGTGACTCGACACGGATATTTTCGGTGGGATTTCTGGATGATTTGTGGATGTTACCCTCTGGTTATTTAACATAGCTATGGAAGCCATGGCCCATAGAAACAGATGATTTTCCCAGCTACAAAGCTCCATTTATTTCATGGGTTTTCCAGTTCGCTATGTTAAATGACCAGATGGTAATACGATGTTCATCCCCCCAAAAAAGGGATTTAATAGGTATTGATCCATAGCCATATGACAAAGATATTCCTTATAGAATTGTAAATGTGGAAAATCATTGAATAGATAACCCAGTTATGAAGTATTCTTATATTGGGATTATGATTGGGGTGATATATTGTTGCATTGCAATTATAACCCAGGGTGGTTTGTAACATTAATGAATCGATTTATGGTGAAGTGTTTCAAAGAGGATCTGATTATTGACATCAGCACAGGGTTATGGCTCATTATATATTTGAACATTTGAAAATCTATTTGGCACATATATGAAGAAACATTCATCATGGCATATGTTATAAATCCCCTTCGATAAATCCCATGAAATTCCCATTGCCCTCTGGTAAACTAACATAACTATACATAACTATGGAACACCCCCATGCTGCCCATGCTATTATATAATGGGTAAATCAACTATTTCTATGGCAATTTTCTATGTCGCAAACTGTAAACGTTTACCAGGCCGGGTAAATCCCATCAGATCACTATTAAACCACCATAAAATCACCATTTCTAGTGGTAAAATCACCATTTTCCTATGGTTTTTATAGTAGAATCACCATCACCAAAGGTGCTGAGAACTTCTCCCACCAGCAACGGAGACGTGGACCCGGACGTGTCTTGGATCGGCACCCAAAAAAGAGGGGAGATCCCAGGTGGTTCCAATTATCCCGCTGGAGAAGATCATCCAGAATTGAAGAATTGAATGGATTACCCATATATAATCTGGTACCCTCTGGTAATTTAACATAGCTATGGAAAATCACCATTTTTAATGGGAAAACTCACTATAAATGGCCATTTTCAATAGCCATGTTAGTTTACCAGAGGGTAATCCCCAATATAATTAATCTGGTTGGTGGTTTGGAACATGTTTTTGTTTTTTTTTCTCCCATTCAGTTGGGAATTTCATAATCCCAACTGACTTTGTAATCATGATTTTTTGATGAGGATCATGATCTATCTGGTTATAATGATTGTTATAGGTTTCTGTACCATCATTAATTATCATAATATGTTCTCTGGTTGGTGGTTTGGAACCATGGAATTTTCTGACTTTCCATATATTGGGAATTTCATCATTCCAACTGACTTTTTTCAGAGTGGTAGGTATACCACCAACCAGATTACCCTTTTAATCCCTAATATCATGGTTTCTAATGGTTGATCATGGATATTCACATGGTTGACCAAGCCAAAAAAATAATGGCGAAGCCCATTTTGCGGAGAGTGGAAGGCGATGCTTGGAACTTGGCAGCTTGATCTGCAGTTGTCATCAAGATCCAATCAGTTGTGATTTCCGACCATTGATACAACCAGCCATTCCAAAGCTTACCACCTGATAAATTCAACATACCCTCTGGTAAACTAACAGTTTGCGACATTGAAAATTGCCATTTATACTTGATTTACCTATTAATAGCATGGTGGATCTTTCCATAGTTTTTTGTTAACGTTTACCAGATCACCATGGATCCCACGTCGATGTCGCGGATGACCTGGCAGGCAGCTTCTCCAGAAAAAGCTCACAGAGTTCGAACATGTCCATCAATCGTCGCCTGGCGTTCAAAAGCGCGGCCGTGCTTGCGCAGCCGAGCGGCGTCAGCAGGGTTTTGATGATGTTTTTTTGATCAGTTTTCTGGAGAGAAGATCGCCTTGTGGCATGGAAACTTTATGGAAACTCAGATCCGTAGTTGGAGACTTGGGTGGAACATCACCCACTGTCAGGTTAGAATTGCACTTACCAGGAATCAATAATGATTGGTAAGTAGTTGTAACCAGTCAACCAATATCAACCAATCACCAGGTACCTAATAATCACCAGTGAATCATTGGAAGATAAGTTTTCACCAATCACCAGGTCCAAGATTTACGGAGCGCCCAGGAAATGCCTCGAGTGCTTCCATGGAGTCGGATGATGATGAAGAACCCTTGAATTTCATGGACTTCAAGGTGAGGTGACTGAGTACCACATGGTGAAGATCAACAAGCTGAAGCTGTTTTCTTACATATTATTACTATATATATATATATCTATATTACATGTAATAACATATTATAGTACTATATTGGAATGTTATTATATATACATGTTATTATTACCATCATGTACTATATATATATAGTAATATATATATACATATATATATAGTAATAACAGCTTCTAGTACATGTGTTATATCCACTACATACATAGATATTTTACGCTATGAATTTCCAGGCTATTGCTTGAAAGGGTGCACATGCCATGCCGTGCATCGATGCATCGACCCCTTTAGCATCGTCCAGTGTAAAATGGTCATCCTGGAAGGATGGAAATCCGAATTGACATGAGTTGAATTTAGTTGGGCCCAAAATTCTTCACCAATCCAATATACATGGATTGTTAAACATACATACATATATATATATATAGAAATTTGGTGATTTTATGGTGGTTTAATGGTGATCTAATGGGATTTACGCTCTGGTAAACGTTAACAAAAAACTGATGGGAAAATCACCATTATGAATGGGAAAACTCACTATAAATGACCATTTTCAATAGCAAACTGTTAGTTTACCAGAGGGTAAACATGACCTTGTGCGTCCATTGACACTCCCTGGTGATTGGTTGCCATGGCCGTTTCTCCATCGTCAGGAACGTGTGCTCGCAGACGTCATGGTGAAAACAAAGTGGGGATGCCTGGCATGGGAGATTGAACGATGGTATTTCTGTTAGGTGAGGGTCCCTAGATTTTAACAAAGGTGCAACTCCTCCTTCCCTTCCCTTCCCTTCCCTTCCCTTCCCTTCCCTTCCCTTCCCTTCCCTTGACTTCCTTTCTTCCTGCAGTGTTGAGCGCCAGACAGCATGTCTGGGCCTGAACACCATATCGCCGCACCTGGGCCCGAATGCCAGAGAGAGAATGCCAGAAAAAATATCAAATATGATAGAACTACGTCACCATGGGGATCACTCGAAGTAAAGTACTTTATTTCTCTCTGGTAAACTAACATCACTATCAAAATCACATTTTTTTTGTAATTCATCTATAAATGGACCATTTTCCCTAGCAAACTGTTGGTTTATTGGAGGCTACATGGTCCCAAAGGTCTCAGGCCAGCATGAACTGGGGATGGAATCTTACCCTTTGGTAATGACTAACAGTTTGCTATTGAAAATGGCCCATTTATGGTTGATTTACCTATTAAAGACCCAGTTCGCAAACTGTTAGTTTACCAGAGGGTATCCACCAAAATTGCGGATATCAGACATGAATTGATGAAGTCTACACAATGGTTTCTGCAAGAATGGGCCTCCAGGTGCAGTCTGGGGTTAGCAGCATCTGGTTATGATCAACGGCTGGGAGTAGCTGGGACTGATTTTCCAGCCAAGGATGACCATGGCCAGGTGCGCATTGATGCAAGTAAGAACTGCATTGCCCAATTATGTCCAATTCAACGGCTCCAGGATTTTTCTATATTTTTCTATATATTTTTTTCTTAACTTCCCGCAGCTATATTCTCTTTATTTCTGAAGCATAAACCTGGGCAATGCTGGCCGCTGTCTTGAGGCTTTTCGATGCATGTACGTCTCAGCTTGGCAAAGGAACGACGATGAAAAACATCGGCAGGCAGGGCCCGTGTTCCGTGGTTGTATCAAGGGTGGAACATGTTTGCAGACATCCAATGTTGGCACTGATAGATCCAAGCGCATCGGCAATGTTGTCATAATCATTTATAATCTCATCCTTCCCAGATTGATATGTGAGATTCTATGCTAGATTCTATGCTAGATCCAACACTAAAGCACACGAAACCACGCTTTCTTTGGTTTTTTTTTTGTATTTTGCGGAACCGCAAAGCACCTCACCAGGCGCCATGTCGAGGACGTGGGTGTGAAGGTGGCTCTAATGGTACCCCAGCTGCACTCATTAAATCATCTTATGCCCTTAATCCCATCACCCTAAGATTAAACAGCCCAAAAAAAGCATGGTCCCAATGGAATGTGGAAATTCCAGAAACTAAACCATGGTTTCGGGCTAAGGGGCTGTTTTATATGAACGGGGAAAGGGATTATTGTAGAAAAAAACAACCTACTGGATCTGGCTGGACCCCCAAATAATTCAACATCTGTTTTTATGTGTGTTTTTATATGTCCACTATCTGGTTTCTGGGAGGTGTCCACTATGACTGGGGGATGGGAGTCGAATCATAGTGTTGGTGAATTATGTGCCATATATATATATCCCTGTTGAATCCTTTGAAACCCCTATTTGTTCTAGGAGATGCCCATATATTTCTATCTGGTTGGTGGTTTGGAACATGAATTTTATGACTTTCCATTCAGTTGGGAATGTCATCATCCCAACTGACGAACTCACTCCATCATTTTTCAGAGGGGTGGCGAAAAACCACCAACCAGATTACCCTTGTAATCCCTAATAAATCATGGTTTCTAATGGTTGTTCTGGGAGATGCCCATTGATTTATATCTGGTTGATGGTTTGGAATCATGGAATTTTATGACTTTCCATATATTTTATATGATTTATATATGGTGAACCCCATTTCAAGGCTAAATCTTCCAACCAAAAACCATCAGGGGGACCATCAGGGGACCCAAAAAATGCCGAGCCCCCTAGGTCATCATCTTGCTCTTCATCCTGAGCTTCGTGGTAGATCAAAGAACAGATACCTCTGTGCCATTGGTGTCCCTTGGCATTTTCCTCGGCGTTTCGAGTTTCTGATGTTTCTGGGGAGCTGTGAAGGCTGTGAAGCTCGGCAGCCAGGTCGTGTCCCTGGATTTTTGGACGGGAATCCTCATGGAAAGCGCCAAATTTGGATGGTTAAAACATGGCCCCCCCCTTAAAAACAGTCTACAGATATTCTCTTCGATCAAGCCGGCAAATGCTGGGAGTAGCACATGGTGTCTCAGTGTGGGGCACTAAATGTTGAGATGTGAAATGGTGCCGAATTCTTCATCATCACTGCAGGTATCCTCCAGGTTCATGAAAAACGTGGCAATTGAACATCCTCGAGCTCAATGATGCCAAATGAAGGTTTTAGCGGGAAAATCATCTATAAATGGACCATTTTCCATTGCCACGTTTGATTACCGTGGAGCATGATCCTTCATCAACCAAGGTTAGAGCAGCTAGATAAGGAGGTGGGCGACGATCCATCTTCGATTCTGCGCTTGCGGCTACGGTAACATACCGTATTGACAATACCTCAAAAACATGTCCGGAAAGAGAAAACCTAACGTCAACCCCCTTAGATCATCCCAAGTCTATGGGGGTCCACCACAGTTTTTAGATCAATTTTTGTGGGAACATCAGCCCAAAAACTGGTAACCCCCAAAAACATTTTGTACTGGATCCCCTTCCAATATCTTCCAATCCACCTCCAGACTTTGGGAGTCACAGGTTTGCCCTATTTTACCCTCTGGTAAACATACAAAAAGCTATTGAACATGGCCATAGAAATAGTGGATTTACCCACTAAAAATGGTGGATCTTTCCATAGTTTTTCGTATGTTTACCAGAGGGTACCTCCAGTGATTTTTCACGTGGCGATTCTTTCATGGAAATCCCCAGCCACGTTGACACCAGAGGGACCCCGCAGGCGACGCTACGCTTCGAAGGTTGGATCTTCGACGATGCTCCAGAGGAGGGGCAGAACTGGAAAGACATCTTGAGACCTACGCATTTGATCTAGATCTTGCATAACTCTATAGAATCTATGATATATATATATATAATGACAATAATAAAAATAGTAATAACAATAATAGTAATGATGATAATGATAATGATGATAATAATACTGATTATTTGCACGGGTGGTATAACCCATCCAATTTTCCGGAAAAGTAATTGGACTCGTAATTCAGTGGTATCTCTGAGATGGTTTCATGAATAAACACTGGGGGACTGGCCATTGCTAGCTGTGAATGGTTCAACTTGATCCAACTCGAAGATCTATGTCCAAACTCTGGGTCCAAAGCTTGAAAACTTCAACTTCCAGGAAGGAGTACCAAAGGGTGGTTTGGGCCCTGTGCACGTTCTGGTTTCCAGGGATCCCAATGTCGGACCCTGTTAGAGCCTCCGTTGTGAACAATTTATCCTTGCAGTACTGTATGATATTAGGCTAATATGGGGATATCAACACAACCTCAAGCAGTCACATCATGAATCAGCACATTTTTGCCTTCCTTTTCCAGGATTTGGTGGGGAGTTACCTCATTTGGAAGGCGGGCTGTGGTGCTTGGCATGGCGGGCTCATTTTAGGGTCCCGGAATCCCCAGATTTTCACCTGTTTCTAATGAAGACGTCCCGGAATCCCAGAATTTCCCCATTTTTCCCATGAAATTTCCCATTGGTAATCGCTTGATCTCCCTTGCCATCTGTTTGAACCATAACAAAGTAGGACATTTTTGGGCCAACAATTGTACCATCTTCATTTTTTCCAGCCCGTTTCGTCCCGGTAGCCAGTGAATTTCCACTGCATTTGACCAAGTTGAAGCATTGAACAGCTGTTTCAACCTCAATCGCTAAAAGATATGCAACTTTGGGAACTGTACCACATCAAACCCAGCAATCATAGCAGTTTGATATAGTTTGATCCTTTTTTCCTACCAGGTGGTGCCCTTCCATTGATACCCTCTGGTAAACGTTTACATAACTATATATAAACATACAAAAAACTATGGAAAATCACAATTTTTAATGGGAAAACTCACTATAAATGGCCATATTCAATAGCTATTTTGACATAACCAGAGGGTAAATGGGTTTATCATCCCCATAAAACATCATAAAACTATAGATATATCACCTATAAACCATCGTTTTTGGAGCTATAAACCAACAAAAATCGACTCCTGGGGCACCACCTTGTTGACCGCCAGTCGCCTCAGGAGGGTCTGTTGACATCGCCTCAGAAACCGACGCTGCTCTACCTGGATCTCAACAAGCGGGTGCTCTGCAATGAGATGCTCCACGGTGGCCCGGCAATGGCAATCTATGGCAATCCATGGCGCTTAAAAACCCTCTGGTAATGACTAACAGTTTGCGACATAGAAAATGGCCATAGAAATAGTGGATTTACCTATTAAGAATGGTGATTTTCCATAGTTATGTTAGTTTACCAGAGGGTATTTTGCACCACTTTGACTTCCTGGTGCGTTTTACGCAGAGAATTTTCGGGAATGATCCACAACTATGAATAATCATCCCAGCAACCCCCAATTCCCATCCATTTCCTACGTTTAGCACCAGTTGATGGTGTTGAAACTTGAATCCACGGGTAAATCTCTCAGCAGCTCTCGATTTGTTGAACTTGCTTTCAGCAGATCCTCAGATGGTAATCTAGAGAATGGTTTCAGATGGGTTTCGTTTTAAACCGCATTGATTTTAGGAATCATCTGCTAATCAAACGTGGCAAGTTAAATGGTGTTTTAGTGGGGACTCATCGAACTAAATGGTGAATTTCCCAGCCAGCTATGTTTGATAACACTCCAGGGCATACCAATCCATTATAATCCTTTGAATGCCATTAGGATCCATTAAATCCCATTGAATACCAATAAACCACATTAAATCCCATTAAGATCCATGGATTTTAGCTACATTGATTATTTTGGATGTGCCCAGTTGCCACTGATGTAGCAACCAAAAAGGAGCACCGGCTCCTGCAGCAATCCATTACTTGACATTTTTGATCTTCATCTTTTGCAACGGAAAATTCGGCAATTTCTATATCATGACTCAATGATGACCTATCACAAATATGGTGATTTGATCTAATTTGATATGTTTTCCAGTTTTCAAAGTGTTACATGAACGGGTCGGGTAAATCTCATGATATCCCCATCATATCCCTATGCCAGCAGATCTGCCATAGTTATCACCAGCCATCTGCATTTTTTTCGAGGTGGGGATCCCATGAAATGCTTGGAACTCAGTTTTTCCGCGGTCAATCACCAGTCAGCCTGGGCGTCCTGTCAAGCTTAGATGAAAAAAAGGCCCGTTTAACACAAAGGGGGTTACCATTGTAGAAGCAAAACAAAGGCAGACTATCATAAAATATGGGGAGCAGCTCCTAATTGATCAACGAGTTTTTTTTTGGATCCGGGTTGACATTCGACATTGGAAAACATGGACATCTATCTCAGATTCTCCATCATCTTCCCGTAAGAATAAGAATGCCAAAAATCAAAAATCCTAGTAGCCTAGCATTATTTATTTTTTTTTCCAATTTCCTCATGTAATCCCTTGAACTATGGAGTTTCTTCTTGAGTATTTCCAAGTCTCCCTGGGTCTCCCACTGGGATGTGCATCCCACGTAGTCCCACTTAGGATCCGTGGTTTATAATCCACATATATAGTATGTTTTTATTGATAATATATGATAATATATGTATATTTTACGCAACATATGCGTATTATAATATATATATATATATTATATGTATAAATATAATTAACCATATATAACCCATATTTCATCCCATTTTTTTTTTCAGTGGACAAAAAAAACACCACCGAAGTGGGGCCCAAATCCCGGGCCCGACCTTCCAAGGCTCCGAGATCCGGTTGGGCACCACGGTGCCATGGCCCAACCGGACGAGTTTGCAGAGCATCGATGAGGCGATCCAGACCGAAGGCTTGCCCTACAGGCGCAACGGATGGCGCAACGGATGGTTTAAGGGATGTCTTTTGGAGAATATATATAGTTGTAGAGTTATATATTATGTATATGGAAGATATCTATCTATCTATGTATCTATCTATCTATCTGGGATATTATATATATATATCTGGGATATATATATATATACATATGGGCCATATGGGATATATATATACCTGGATAAGTTGTAACGACCTTTCGTTCTTCCGAACCCTGGAATCATGGGCCTTATTTCAGGTTCGTGAATTACTATAATTTACCCAGATACCCTCTGGTAAACTAACATAGCTATTGAAAATTGCCATTTAGTTCGTGGATTTACCCATTAAACATGGTGATGTTCCATAGTTTTTTGTACGTTTACCAGAGGGTATCTGGGATTCCTAATGATTTAAGTGGATCTTTTCATAAATCTTATCAGAATGTGGATTTGCCAGATTGGCACTGCATGCTTGGGAAAAAACACATGCGGGGAAGGTCCAAAAATATAGGACGAAGATGAACAACTGGATTCCCCTCTGGTAAACTTGCATAGCTATGGAAAATCACCATCTTTAATAGGGAAATCAACTATACATGGGCCATTTTCAATAGCAAACTGTTAGTCATTACCAGAGGGTATAATAGTTTGAACATTGGATTCTACCATATACCCCCCCTTCAATGGCCACCCAATAGGATACCCTCCAGGAATTCAACGCGGCTAGCTGGGAAATTCATCGAACTAAATGGTGGGTTTACCAATCAACTATGTTTGATAACAGTAGAGGGCATACCACTCCAGTATCATCCATTGAATTGCCTTAAGATCCACATTAAATCCCATTGAATACCAATAAACCACATTAGATTCAATGGGATTAAATGTGGATAATGGGATACTTAATGTTTTAATGGGATTATTCAATATATCCCATTTAATGCCAATAAACCATATTGGATCCCATTCATATCCCATTCATAATCCCATTAAATTCCACCATCCCCACAGATACTGGGCGCATTTTCCAGCCGCGCCAGGGCGGATGATTTGGAGTTCTTCCGTCATCCGGTGGTGGATGAGACCAACACGTCCACGGCTCCCTGTCTGTCAACACCGCGTCCAACCTGGCAATGAGAGAAACTTCACCCACTTTTCGGGAAACATCTATATAAATGATATGTAGATCATTGTAGATCACCTATAAATACTAATTTGGGAAAATCACCTCAACCCCCATTTTTTTTGGTGGGAAAGATCACTTATAAATGGTTAGTAGGGGACGTTCTATAACGTTCTATAGATTTCATGGCTGAAGGGTACTCAACGGGACGGCATTCTTGAGAACTGTCTCGGAAGTTTTTTTTCTCCGCACAAGCGAAAACTTCCATGTGATGAAAAACATGAACATGATCGGCCAACTTGAAGTCCACCATGGCCATGGAATCCCATGTCCAACCCATGGAAGTTTGCCAACCCAACTTGATAAGGGTTGGACATTTGCCATGGCCATGGTGGAATCTACCAAAGACAAGCTGGTTAAAACCGGGGGAATCATCAGAATAGCCCAACTTTTCAGGCTGGAGAGTTGGACTTGTCATAGTTTGCTCTGGCATGGGAGGCACAGTCAGTTCGATGATCTACCTAGTTTAAAGACTGTTTCATACCCTCTAGTAAATTAACATAGACCCTGGAAATCACCAATTTTTAATGGAAACTAGTCTTCCAACCCCTATCTGCCAGGGTCTATGTTAATTTACCAGAGGGTAAGTCATGTTGGTTTACTGGAGGGTTTTTATCCGATGATATCCCATTGTATCCCATGATATCACCATTATATCCCCATTAATGTGGGTAAAACAATAGTAATCAATCTGGCAGTCATCACCATAGGTGGTGTGTTATGGTGTGTTTACCATTTCCAGTCATGGGTGGTTTATTGTTTTACCCAAGTTATATCGATGACCATTACCCTCTGGTAAATAAACATAGACCCTGAAAATAACGATTTTTAATGGGAACTAATCTTCCAAACCCTACCTGGCAGGGTCTATGTTAATTTACCAGAGGGTATATCCCCAATATATCCCCCATGGTTCACCAAGTGCAGCGCCAGGATCTAGACGAAGAGGTCACTTCTGTGGCTCTCCTGGACACTCGCCACCTCAATGAACAGGTGCGAAGGAAGCGCCTAAAATTTGGTATGCCATCTGGTAAACATACAAAAAACATCAAAAAACTATGGAAAAAACACAATTTTGTCATGGGAAAATCCACGATTTCTATGTCCATGTTCAATAGCTATGTTCGTTTACCAGAGGGTATCTATTATTTTTTGGTACCTCTTCAATGAGATTGGGATGGCATCCTACTAAACGTCATAAACAAGAACAAATAAGTATCTAAGATTTATCTAAGTATTTTCTTCTTGTTGATCTTGTTGCTGGCCGAGTGGCCCCCAAAAACCCTGGCACAGGCTGCAGTGAATTCGCTGGTCATCAGTTGGTGCCGTGGATGCAGTTTTTAAAAAAGCCACCTGCAGGCTGTCAGAAGTCATGTAGTTGGCAGTGGAGTGCAGTGGAGTGCAGTTCCATTTGCAAGTGGCTTATGAAGTTATACTGGTTGGTGGTTTCAAACATGAACTTTATTTTCCATTTCATATATGGGATATATAATCCTTCCCATTGACGAACTCATATTTTTCAAAATGGTTAAAACCACCAACCAGTATAAGATGATCTTAGATGTAATTTCAGCTTAGTCTTTTCGGGATAAAAGATCCCAATTTATGGAGGTATGGAGGTTATTGCCATAATGATATTATATCATGTTATAGCCATTGTACATCCATGAAAATAGGCCCAACTGCAACCCCGAGTTGGCAGTCAACCCTTTATTTGGCACAGTCGAGCTGGGGGAGTCAAACGGTTTAATTAACCAACTATAACATACATTACGCTCTGGTAAACGTTTACATAATTATGGACAATTATTTTTTTAAATATGCAAATCCACTATACATTGCCATTTTCAATAGCAAACTGTGAGTTTACCAGAGGGTAAGACACAGGCAGTTGGATGGTTTAAACATACCCTCTGGTTATTTAACATAGCCATGGAAGCCATGGCCCATTTATGGATGATTTTCCCAGCTATAAACCCATTTATGGTTGGGATTTTCCATGGCTATGTTAGTCATAACCAGAGGGTATCTATAATTTTGGTGAAAATGGCCCATTTATAGTGAGTTTTCCCATGGAAAATTTTGATTTTCCATAGTTTTTTGGTATGTTTACCAGGCCGGGTATGAATAAAAGCCATCCATATTCACGACATACGATCTGAAGCTCCCAAGCCACCTACCTCCATCGTCTCAGGACAGTGATCTTGATCATCTTGGTAGGCATGGCCTGGCAGCCCAGAAAAAAAGGTCATCCCAGCCGGATCATGGGAGCCTAGCCATGTTAAACGGTAAGATGAATATGGGTTATATGGAAGTTATATGGTAAACATACCAAAAAACTTTGGAAAATCACCATGTTTAATGGGAAAACCCTTATAATTGGAGGTTTAAAAGATACCAAAATTATAGTTACCCTCTGGTTATGACTAACATAGCCATGGAAAATCCCAACCATAAATGGAGGTTTAGTTCGCTGGGAAAATCATCTATAAATGGGCCATGGCTTCCATGGCTATGTTAAATAACCAGAGGGTATATGGATGTTATATGGTTTATGGTGGGGTTAATAATGATTATATGGGGTTACTGTATATGGTTTAATATTAATGGTTATGGTTAGTTATGGTTATATTAATAGACACTAACAATGTGATGGTTATATTAATACATATTATCCATGTTATAGGTCAATGGTTATGGTGGGGTTAATAATGATTATATGGGTGTGTCTGAAAATGGTGCTTACACAAAAAAAAAGCCACTGAAATAGGGATAATGTGGGTCAAACAATACCATAAACCATCCCCAATTATTCAATTTTGCCATTCTAATAGGTGGTATGTTTACCATTCCCAAGTGGGTTTATGACATTGTTCTACCCACATTACTTGAATTTAGATGCGCAACACTTTTTTTTGCTTGATCTATCTTGATCTTACGTATTACTATCCCACTGCACGTGTTTTCAACAATAAATTCCATATGTGAAAAGATAGTTGTCAGCTACCAAGTATTTAACAACAATGAGAGTCATATATATATATAATATCGTTATCATTATAACTACCACTTTTATTTACATTGCTATTATTATTGTTATAAAAGCATACTATTGTTATAACATTACTTTTATATTGTATCTCTATAGTCATAAATCTCCATAGTCGCCAGCGTCGCGACTCACGCCGAGTTCACCATCACCAGAGATCTGGGCCATTTGTCGCGGAAACTCTTGGAGTCTCTCGGCGGATGCGCTTACGGAGCCTGGGGGTGGTAATGTGTCTGGAACTTATGGATCTATTTATGGGATCTACCCTCTGGTAAATTAACATAGACCCTGGTAGGTAGGGGTTGGAAGACTAGTTTCCATTAAAAATGGGTGATTTTCATGGTCTATGTTTACCAGAGGGTATGATCTATTTATGGAATGTACTGGAGATGTGGGTAGTTTTTTTTGATTGGAATTTCATGGGGATGTAGAAAGTTGGGATGATCTGTCTCCATGATTTTGGGTATCCGGATCTGACTCAAGACATTGTGGAGTTTCCAGCGCGACATGCGCTCGTGATTCTGATCCAAGCGTCTGAAAACATGTGGCCCAAAATGTGTAGAGAGAAATGTGACAAACTGATATTGTCTCTTCAGTATATAAGTATATAATTGTTTTGATTTCTCAACAAAATGCATCAAACTCCAGTTGAACAATAACTGAAGCCATTTTTGTTTCGCTGAGTGATCCTCAGCAAGCACTCAGCGCTCGAGGGCGAAAGACACTGAGGCCCCTACGGGTTTTGGCTGATGAGATGCAAAGTATCGCATGGGGACCCTACGGGTGATCGTCAGCTCATGTCAGCTCCATGGTGGTCGCCATAGCTGCCAGTCACATCATCTATTACCAGCTGGTAAATCCCCCCAGAATCCCTTTAACATCCTATAAATCCATATAAATCCCCATTGTTGTTGGTTTTCAACCATGTTAAACCCCCAAATTTTCTCACTGGTTGATTTTTCAGAGCTTCATTTCCAACTTTTTCGCATGGCTCAACTACTGGCTGACCTGGATACTTTTTCGCAGCGCAGCCGCAGAGACTCTCAAGCTGGCTGACCATTGATAGTTATGACATATACATGACATATACATGACATATACATGACATATACATGATAAATGGTCATAAATGGTCATAAATGGTCATAAATGGTCATAAAATCCAATGCTGTGAAGCCAATTCATGATTTTTTTATTTTTCGGGGTGACAATCTCAGATGTTGCAGTTTGCCATGGATGCCATGGATTCCACGTGACATGGAGGCGGGCCACGTGGATCGGATTACAACGGCTGGGAAGCTATCTTTGACTATGGGAACCTAAAAAAAATACCTATTATAATGGCTGTAATAGGGAAGGGGTTCTATATATGTGAACTCTATTATATCCTATGCTGCTTCCAAAGGTTTGACTATGTTTGACTATGTTTGACTGGTTCAAGTTGAGTTTTCCTTTTTTTGGGAGGGCCATCAAATTTGTTGATGGCGATATTCTGCACGAGATTTCATCGTGCCTTTTGTTGACGATCTTCACGCGTTGGTTATACATCCATTACATTTGATGGTGATGTGAATCGTCCAATGATCTTGAGCCATGGGCCACGCATAATGATGATAGAATGTATGACTTTAACCACATTTAACCACTATCCATTTATGACTTTAACCACTGTTTGCCCATGGATTTTTCCCATGAATTGTCGATCGTCAGGTAGACCCCGCTGTGGTCGACCCCTCTGTGGATCTACTTCGTCTTCTGGACGAAGACGACGGATTCGATGGCGTCTTGGACATTACGAGAGATTTGGAAACCTAGATTATATGTATAATATGTATAATATATTTAATATATCTATTATTTTGGTAGATTCTAAGCCCATGTCCTTCTGATTTCTGTTCTATACATTGCTATATTTATAGGCGTTGATGTCTGGTTCGCAAGGGCTTTTCCTTGCGGTCAATATCCAGACTCTGCACAAGCGGTCTTCGGAAACATCCCATGAAACCAACCAACACACTTCACCTTGAGTCTAGAAAATCCACGTTGTGCTCATCTTCATTCTACGATGCCATATAATGCCCAGAAGATTTGAATGTGAGACATATAACATGTCATAAAATTACACATGCATAATGTAATGCATAAATACTATCATAGTAATTGTATCATATTGTGATTGTGACGGTGTGGTAATTTTTCATCCTGGTGCTGTAAAAGGTGTGTCAGTCAAAGATGCATAATATTACGCATTGTATATTACAGACTCATAGACATTGACAGAATTGATAAACATTCATGAGTAGATACCTTAGCACAATATTTTAGAAACTCATGATATATACACACATATACACACATACACACATATATACATATACACATACATATACATATACATATACATCTACATATACATACATATATATATATACATATGTATATATATACATATGTATATATATTTATAACATGTCGGGGATCATTGGGCGGTGGCCATCAATCCCTCAATAGGCTTCAATATACCCAGTAAGTGGGGAATCTCGATGGTGAGATGACCAGACCTCACCTTGTAGAGGTTCCCCTTCAGTAATCAAACATGTGGCAATTTGACCCAACAGATAGAGGTTGAGGTTTTTACAGTCGAAATGGGAAAGTCATCTGTGAATATGCAAAATAGCCATTTGCTGGAGGATATAGCTAGAGCCGCCGCTATAGCTACCCTCTGCTAAAGACTAACAGCTTGCTATTGAAAATGGCCATTTATATATAGTGGATTTACCCATGAAAAATGGGTGGATCTTTCCATAGCTATGTTACCCTCTGGTAAACTAACATAGCTATGGAAAATCACCATTTTTAATGGGAAAATCCACTATAAATGGTCATTTTCAATAGCTATGTTAAATTACCAGAGGGTAAATTACCAGAGGCTACTTGGTAAACCAACGAAATCCAACCATCAACGCCCCAGGTCTCCCCTCCGTCGCTGCGGGCGCGGGCGTAGACCCCGGGGTCGCTGTGGCGCTGGATGCAGCGCGTTGCGAGCTGGCGGTGGTGGCATTGGTGGGGCACCGTCCACGAAACGTGTTGGAGGAGATCTATCTGTGTCTTGGAGCGAAGCACTGGTAGGTTATATACGTGAGTTTTACAATGATTATATATATATATATACTGATCCTTTAACACTATGCATGTTATGGTTATATATATATATATATTTACTGATACTGTAAAATTATCTGTGTCATGTATGTTATGGTCATAAAAAGGTGTACGCATCCACGTTTGGATACCATGTGATTTCTCCATGATTTCAACAATTTTTTTGGACCGGGGGCCTCGGCTCCACTCCAATCTTTTGGCGCTGCAGCTTCCTTCCGGAAACATTGGATATATGGGTTCCCAACTAAACAAAAAAAAACATATATAAACTTTTCCATATATATTTATTTTTAAAATCCCAGCCATTCCAACTTGTGCTTCTGTTCCGCTAAATTTCAGCCTGGTTTGCCAACTAAAAAATCCGACAAGATGGCCGCCTGAAACACTATGGATCACCATGGTAATTCCACGAAAAAGGGAGAAGATGTGCAGCACCAACATGTTTCCCAAGTTGACTTTGGGGTAGCATTCCTCCAGTCAGTCCTGTTTTTTTACACTCCTTCAGTGAATTACATATATTGAAAATGGTCAATATTACAGATGTTTCCCATAATATATGTATATATATATATATATGTATTTTTCAATGATAGGATCATTATATATTTCCAACATTTTATCATCATCATAGAATATAATGTGGTAAAAACCATGCCATAAACCATCCCTAACATCATATCACCACTTTTATTAGGGTGGTATTTTTCCCATCCAAAATGGGTTTTGTATTTTTCCCAGTCGCCTTTTCCATCCTATGCGCCGTCTCAGGTGCAGCGCGGGCGACTTCGATGTGGAGCTGGGCATGTTGCAATGCTTCTATCAGCCGCAGGATCCGCGTTGTCACCCCATGATTTACAATGTTTCGTAGGAATCCTATCTGAAGAACGATATCTACCATAAATATCCATAAATTGGGATTCTTCTACCATCTTTATAATTTTATAAGATGATATTCCCATAGCCATGGAGGTACCTCAAAAAATTGTTGGTTTATTTCATGGAAAATCCCATCTATAAATGGATGATTTGGAGCTATCCCCATGTCAGGAAACCCCCATTTACAGTGTTAAACCATCTTTATAAATTGGGATTCTTCTACTATAAATTTTCTATAATTTATAAGATGATATTCCCATCTAAATACCTATCTATCTTGGAACTTTTCATTAATGTGGGTAAAACAATGTCATAAACCATCCATATATTGGCACAGTAAACATACCACCTATTGGAATGGTGATGACTGGGGGATGTTTTATTATTGTTTTACCCACATTATAGGTATGGCATGAAAAATATGGTTGTTACACATCTAAATATATCTAAATCTATGATACTGTAGGACGTGATGATGAATATACTTCATATCATTATGATATTAATTCATCTGAATCTAAATATCATTCTAGAGATTAGCTATAATAACATGCATATTAGTCATGTTAATTTTTACATCAAACATGGCCATCTCTGTATATAAAACAATTCACTATTCACTGGCGCTGAGAAGATTTACCCATTGATAGCATGGTGGATCTTTCCATCGTTTTTTCTTAACGTTTACCAGGCCGGGTAATGGCCATGCTCTCCGAACGATTTCCCGTCGCCAGGATCAGATCCTCTTTCTGTGTCTCGACACGTCATCACGCGATGACGCTGGAGCTGCTGGAGCGGAGGAGAGTTGCCGATGGGCCGATGGGCCGATGGTTGCCTTGATTTCTACCACGAAAAAATAGGGTGATTCAAAGATGGTGAAAAAATGTGGGTAAAACAAGGCCAGAAATATTTAGGAAATAATTAGATATAGTAAGAACCGTAGTTTTATATGCCATACCTTTTTTATGTGGGTAAACCAATGCCATAAACCGTCCCCCAATCATCATAAATTGGTATAATGAAGGTAAAACAATGCCATAAATCATACCCCCAGTCATCACCGTTCCAATAGGTGGTATGTTTACTGTTCCAATATATGGGTGGTTTATGATATTCTTTTACCCACATTATCTTCAAACTATTTGAGACCTATTCAATCACAAAAGATGAATCAATCATCAACTTTGGATCTAGCAGTCTTATTCAGGGGTTACCCTGCAGCTTGCAGCGTCGTTCTGGCAAAATCTTACTATTCGGTATGGCGGGTTGTGAGCACAGTCCTTTGTGACGGATTTCTCCGCCATAGGACTGGGAGCATTTGTTGAAGAGTGGGCAGTTGGAAGTCCGAAAGTTTCTTGGGCGAAACTGCAGCTGGAACCCGCTGGGATCTGGCTCCGTCCTGGTAACCAAACATGGCGATTGGAAATCCCGAAATCCCATAGCCATGAAGGTTTTGATATGGGGATGGGTTAAAACCCTGGTACCATTCGTGAACCCCAAGTCATAGCTGGGATTTATGGATGTTCATCCCACTAAAATATGGTATCTATAGGTATTGACCCATACCCATATGTTTTGATGCACATATTTGACACCTTGCCAGCCCCGCTCACCGTGAGGTTGGAGGCCTTGTTGTTGCTCTTCAGCTTGTGCCATGACGTCGCGTTGTGGTTACACCGTTGTGGTGTCCACCGGGGACGAGGACATTTTTGACGACTTGACAAGACGAGTGACAAACCGCAACTTCCGCTGACATTCCAACGGAAAAATATTGATGGTCTATGAGGAATGAATTGAATGAATGTTTATTTACATGGCTCATGTTTATGATGCTTTCCAGATGTTTCCCGTTTATAAGGGAACATTAGCTATGGTTAATGGAATGAAAAATCATCACCTCATGAAGTATGCCCTTACGAAAGCACCGTTGGGATTTTCAGGGGTCCAGCGGCTGGATGTCTCTCTGATAACGATCACGTGAATACCAGCTTCCTTTCAGACAGGTTGCACAAATTGCTATAGATGGCCCATAGAAATAAACTAACATCAATATATATATATATATATTATATTATATTGTATAATATAAATGATTCTTGGTACTTCCAGAGTTTGCTATGGACAATTTTCTGATTTTCAATAGGCAAATCATTTTTTTTCCGATTTTGCTCCCAGGTGCCATGTGGTGACCTGGTTCTGTCCCGGCTCATCGCCGCGCTTGGACACTGCGGCCTTGAAACTGTTGGTGACTCGAAATCTGCAGGAAATCTGGCGAGAAAACTCGGGGTTTCCCGTAGATTTTGCCTGAAACCTGCATATTGAATCATATTAACCTGCTGGTTTCATGTTGTTTAGAATGGAGCATCGGATTTTGTAGCATACGGTTCCATATGTTCCCAAATTTCGTTTAAAAATCCGCGATTCTAATCTGTTTGGGGCTATGAAATCTGGTCGTCTCTTCTTTTGAAGTCACAACTCTCCTGTAAATCCACAATTATTGTGATTTCCATCTTTTCATTCCAGGTAGTGACGGGCAATCACTTAGAGATACTTAGAGGGCCCTATGGAATCACTAGTAAATACTAGTAACATCGATTAACCATCATTAACCATCATTATATAATCACTATTAACGATCTATCAACCATTTGTTAACCATCTACCATCTACTAACCATCAGCCATCTATTCACCAGTCTATTTATTAAAGATCTATGAGCCATCTGTTAATACCGTCTATAATCATAAACTAGGATGATGTTCACATCTATCTATAGATATTTTCACATCTATAAACAGATCTTCACCATCTATTAACCATCTATTTATCTATTAGCCATCTATCAATCATCTATTAACCATCTATTAACACTAGGATGATGTTTTTCACATCTATTTCTGTATTTCATCTGGTTGGTGGTTTGGAACATGAATTTTATGACTTTCCATTCAGTTGGGAATGTCATCATCCATTTTTCAGAGGGGTGGGGAAAACCACCAACCAAATTTTAATAGTTAATCATTAACTATCATCAACTATCATCATGAAAGTTATTCTAATCATCCCAACTGATTAATACTTTTCAGAGGGGTTGAAACCACCAACCAGATATTGTTAGCCATAGAAATCGGATGTATATCCCCTTAGAAACATTGAACAGACACTTCGGACATGTTTGAGCTTCCATATTTTCAAACACCTTGCATGGATATTTTCATCACAGCCGCTCCATCCCTGTCCCGGTCCAGAAATGGATATAATTATGATCTATAATGATCTGTAATGGACAATAATGGATAATAATAGATGATCTATATAGGGGTTTCCATAGTTCTCATGGGTATTTTAGATCATCAATCATCTATTAACCATCTATAACCATTATTCTTGCTATTATAACCACAATTATTCCCAATAATCCCATTCTTGCTTGAAACATGTTGAAACCACCCACTCCTGTCATGGATTTTTTCATGGTCCACGGCTCCACCCCTGTCCCCCGTTCCAGGTGAAGGTCCAGGAATTCCAGGGTCACTGCGACCTGACCTCGACCGCACCGCTGGTGATTTTTGTGCATCGCCAGTGACCTGGCGATTTAGAAATCGCCACCGTTGGTGGTTTTTTTGGGTGGCTCATAGCGTTAAAAGTTAGGCATAACTATGTTAGATATACCATGGGTAATTATGGAATATCCAATTTTTTTGTTGTATATAAGAAACAATGGTTGTTTTAGGCATAACTATGGAACTATGTTAGGGTAATATAACATTGGGATATTTAGAAACCCTAACAATAGCTATGGCATATGAAACTATGGAACTATGGTATATCTAATTAATTATGGCATGATGATGAATTGACATATATCTATAATGTGGGTAAAACAATGTCATAAACCACCCATTTGGGAATGGTAAGCATACCACCTAGAAAAATGGTGATGACTGGGTAGCCATTTGGGTAGTATTTATGGTGATTTGGTAATATACCAATGGGATATTATAATTGGGTAGTATACTATATACCTATGAAATTACCTATGATTTATTGCTATATAGCGCAACTATTATTCATCTAGCTATAATGGGTGACATCCCAATGGTAGGACATGACTATACTTGGGTTATACTATAGTACCTATAATGGCTTATCCTACCGGAATAGTTGAACCCCCAATAACCCAATGGTAGGAAATAGGTAATCCCCTATTTAATACAACCAATCAAAAGAAATGGTATTTTTTTAATTAGACCATAGCAAGTGTAGCTTTTTGTGTTCGGGTCATTCTTGTTGGAACGTCCTTCTGACTGGACATTATGACATTGTAAGTTCATGATTTGTCGTTTTCCTTGCTTCGTGACATTTTCCGCTGCGAATCACATGTGTTCTCCGGCTTCTTTTTTTTCCCATCTTGAATCCTTGAAAGAAATACAAAAAAATACACCATGGATTGAGAGATTTGAGATTCACATCCCAGCATATATACCTTCTGGTAACTAACATAACTATGGAAAATCACAATTTTTAATGGAACATCTCAAATTTTGGTGCTATATCCCTATAATTTAGTGAATATCCATAGAAATATTGAGTTTTCCCATTAATAGTATGGTGATTTTCCACTATAGTGGATATACCCATTCATATCCCAACATTCATATCCCAACATTGCAAAATCAGCACAGTTCAGGCCGTGGTATTTTTCTAATATCGCCTCAGGTTGAAACTCCCCGCAGCAGCGAAGCAACGAGCTGCCCTCGAAGCCTTGGAAAAAGTCTTGGACAACAGGCCCTGCAGCTGCCAGGATCTGCCAAGGTCTGAGTTACTGAGTCGGTGAAAAAGAACCTTAAAACATTGGATGGCCTTAGACTGGAAGATGAAACTGATAGTCTTTTTGGGTTGATGTAACTTGATGTAGTTGATTTGTTGACTCCGGATGGTTTGAACTGGTGCATCGCCAGGGAGCCCGTTTCGCATGTCTCAAACGACACAAACCCGTTTCGGCAGGTGGCGGAATTCTTTGAAGCGCTTGAAGCTGCTACAGGATGCGAAGAGGAGATTTGTGACAGTTGCCACATCTCCAGCAGTGATGTCACACCAGGTCACCAGGTCACCTATTTTTTAATATCCCATATATCCCATTCATATCCCATAAATGTCACCAAATTATGATCCATTTTGGTGGCTTAATTCCCAAAAACGGCAGGAATATTTTTGCCGAAATGTCCATTCATTCATTGAATTTCAGCATTTTGGTGAAATATGGTCAAAAAGTCCCAGAATTCCAAGCAAAACACTGGAATTTTGCCCCAATGTGTTGATTCATAGAATTGGATGATGGGAAAATTTACAGGAAAGCCCTATGGTAAAAACCATGGTTTCCTGTAGATTTTCCCTTAAACCAATCCATTGATTGATATCCCAGGAGCATGAGCGTCAAGGGTCTCTTCCGCGTGAATCGCCCTTGCTCTGTGGCTATGGAACGGGAGGCGGGTCAGAAGTTTGGATCTGTGATGATCTGTGGATAGTACTGGTAGCTGGGTTTGAAATGATGTTCCAAAAGTTTGTCAATTTATATGGTTTTTAATTTGTTTTAATATTGTTCGATATGTTTTATTCTTTCAAGAACTATGGTTTCATCTTGTTTTATACATTTTTATACCATGTTCATTTCTGTTGTAACTAAAACCGTGGCATGTTGAGACACTTTTTGATCATTTTTTGCCCCAATCCAGGTTTCTAAGTCCCAGATGTCATGACCATGTAAGAGTCATTTGGACGATTCACTAGGAAAGGGTGCAACCAGACAACGTGACGCCCCAATTATAACTTGGCTTAACCACATTTATAATCATTTATATCCCCCATTGACCATAGAATTCAGCAAGTTATGTGCCTCAACTTAGGTACCCTCTGGTAAACTAACAGTTTGCTATTGAAAATGGCCATAGAAATAGTGGATCTTCCCATAAAAATGGTGATTTTCCATAGTTACGTTAGTTTACCAGAGGGTATCTAAACCTGGTGGTCATTGAGCCACTAACCGAACCTGACTAACCATTTTTTTTAACGCCTCAGATGCTTCAAATAGGGCATATAGTTTCATCACAACACATACCAGACATTCGAGAGTTCACTGGTGCTCCATGTCGTTTTCTTGGGTCGCCATGCTCATATTTGTGTGAGAAATATCTCCGTTTGATATCGCTTGATTGCGAGACCCTTTGTTTCTGTTTGTAAAATTTGCAAATTTGATAACGATTGGAAGCAGAAAACCCATAGAAACCCATAGAAAACAATAGAAAACCCATAGAAAACCTATAGGAAACCATAGAAGACCTCGTTGTTTTGACCATCGAACATTTGGCGAAAAACGTCCCTTGCTGGGACTTTTCCAGGTGCAGCGGGATCCCCAGGATCTGGCGAATGCTGTGGAGGCGGGATGGGGCCCGATCAGATTTGACGGAGATCGAAGTGGCTGAATTCTATGGGTTTTATGGTAGATATATGTGAATTCCAAGTTGGTTAATGATGGTTAGTTGATGGTTAGTTGATGGTTAATGATGGTTAGTTGATGGTTAATGATGGTTAGTTGATGGTTAATGATGGTTAGTTGATGGTTAATTGTGGTTAGTTGATGGTTAATGATGGTTAGTTGATGGTTAATGATGGTTAGTTGATGGTTAATGATGGTTAGTTGATGGTTAATTGCGGTTAGTTGATGGTTAATGATGGTTAGTTGATGGTTAATGGATATTACTATCCTCTGGTAAATTAATTTGTTGACCCTGAAAATGACCAATAAAAATAGTGGAAACTAGTCTTCCAAACCCTATCTGCCAGGGTCGATGTCAATTTACCAGAGGGTAACTCATATTGTTCAGAACCACCAGCCAGTTTTGGATTTTTGGATGGGAAGTTAGGTAGATATAGTGATATAGTAGCATGTCTAATTAGGAAACCACTGGATACTTAAAAAAGGTGGATATTTTAGGAAACCACTGGATATAATTAATATCTGGTGGGTGGTTTCAAACATGAATTTTATTTTCCATAAGATATGGGATAATCCTTCCCATTGACGAACTCATATTTTTCAAGATGGTTAAAAACCACCAACCAGGTAGTATATCTAACTAACTTCCAATCCAAAAAATCCATAGTTAGATGGATTCGGCTACGATTTACTAACTTCCATCTAACTTTGGGGATGCCGACATCGGATGAAGTTTTCGTTTTGTCGAACTTCTATGTTTCTTTGTTAGGGGCTTACTCTATCATAGCATGAACTGTTTGGGTTGATTGGGGGGAACTGGCGACTGATCCGAATTTCCGAAAGAAAATCGAGGGTTTCCCACATTCAACGGCAGGTAGATGATAAGTAATGAATGATACACCACACCTGGCCCGTCTCTTTTTTTCCCGGACCGGGTTGTAGATGTAATAGATGTAGGATGATGAATGATATCATAATTATCATGTAGGGCCCTGAGTAAAATACTGCAACTACAGCTGCGTTTCCTCCAAACACGCCATCAAGTCCATCAAGTGTTACTGGTTGGTGATGACTGGAACCATGGAATTTTATGACTTTCCGGAAACAGTTGGGAATTTCATCATCCCAACTGACGAACTCACTCCATCATTTTTCAGAGGGGTTGAAACTAACCACCAACCAGGTACAATAAGGCCGACCGACCCCAACGGTCCGTCGGTCAGGACCCATCCACGGCGGTGGATCGTTTACGCTCCAGGCAGTGGTTCTGTCGAATGGGGGGGATGCGGATGGGTTTTTTCAACGTGTAAAAACGTTGGGGAACTACTTAGATGGGCCATGGAGTTAGTTAACTGGCCATAAGTATATCCCCAGTAAATGGATTATTTCATTGGGCCATGGATTATATTTACTAACTGGCCATTAATATTTAATCCTTAGTAAATGGATTATTTCATTGGGATTTTTTGGGGGTAACAAATCCCCAGTTACTAACCATGAATCGCTAATCCCATGGCCCATCTAAGTATGGATGATTTCTGGCGCAGTATTTTACAGACAAAGCCAGATTTTCACGAAAAGTACCCTCTGGTAGACTCACATAACTACTCACCATTTTTTTTTATTAATGGGTAAATCAACTATTTCTATGGCCATTTTCAATAGCTATGTTAGTCATTACCAGAGGGTAACCAAATTTAAAGCATGACGACTTCAGTTGGGATGCTTTTTTTCGACTGGTTGGTCATTCATTATACTCAGCCACCGATGGTTCTTTGCAGCTGAACATGTCGTTTTTGATCAGGTCCTAGCACTGAATTTCACATTATTGTTGGACGTTCTCCGAAACTTTTGTTGGTCACGCCACATTTAAACACCACTACTATGATATTCATACTATTATATAGTATACGATGCTATATACTATATATATATTCATCATATCAATTAGTGTCATATGTTTCTCATCATTTTTTATCATCATTTTTCATTCCAAGTTCCACACATCTCACAGGCTGGTGGAGGCCGTGAAGGACGCGAAACGCGAGAGGCTGAGCTTTCAGGACTGGCTGCGGACGGCTTCGGCGCCTAAGCTGAGTTGGTGGGTGTTTGCTGTTGCTGATATTTGGGGAAGTTTTTTTTTAATAATATAGTTTTTTTAGGGGAAGTTTTTTTTTAAATGTTGATTGATATTGATTAAGATATGATTCAAGAAAATGGTATTTGTGCTAATCTATCCATTAACTTTAATCACATGGATTCTTTATATTGATGTTAATTCCCAATAAAAGTCCATTCATCACCATCGGCCACTGGTCAGGACAACATCTTGACTCCCTTTTGTGAGCAAGGTTTTTTTTCCCCTTCTAAGAATGTTTTTTCCTTGCAAAAAAATGATGTGTTAGCAACTTTGACTGGTGATTGGGGGGGCTCATCATGAATGATTACAAATGATTGCTATATGATTGATGGACAATCAATATGGGGACATTACTAATCAATATTAACCAACAAAAAGCATGTGGGGATATAATGGAGGAAAAAGCATGTGGGGATATAATGGAGGAAACCAGTGGGATATCATGACAAAACCATGGGCAGTACTGTTTTTTAATGGCGAACAACATGGGTTTAACCCGCAGACATGGTCATCGAAGCAGCAAAAACAACAGAAGTTGGTTGATACCCTCTGATAAATTAACGTAACTATGGAAAATCACCGTTTTTAATGGGAAAATCCACTATTAATGGCCATTTTCAATAGCTACGTTAAATTACCAGAGGGTAAATGACCACATGATGGGAATATCGTGGGGATATAAACCAACCATGTAACCATGATCCATTTCTTTGCTCCATGATGGGATTTTCCCTGGATTTTTACGGCTGCCTTAACCATCGGTTCCCAATGGCACCGGTATGAAGATCTCACTGATCTAACAGGATCTAACATGATCTAACCAAGTTTTGAAGCCCATCAGTTTCAGGATTTGAGTTCTTTTTGCAATCAAATGGTGATTTTCCGTAGCTATGTTAGTTTAGTATAGATTAATTACAATGAGTTCAAGCCTGGCTGGAAATGATTCATGTTGATTCCAATGAAATCTTGGGATTTGCTCCACAAAAATCACCGGTGGATGGGCCCCCCTTTTGAGATAGCGTTCAGTTGAGATATGGCTGTGGCTCAACTAGGGTTTAGGGTAGATACAAATTTATATACCCTCTGGTTATTTAACAAAGCCATGGTATAGATGGCCCATAGAAATAGATGGTTTACCTATTAAAGATGGTGATTTTCCATGGCTATGTTAAATATCCAGATGGTAAATCAACTGAACAGTTATTTCAATAATGGTAGATACAAGTGTGTGTGCTACCATGTGCTACCCTAAACACTGTTTGCTAAAAGTGTTAGCCATTAACTATTACAGGTGCATAATGGGGGTTATAAACATGTCCTTTTGGTAAAAATAGAGGGGATCATATCGCCAAGTCATTATTGGTTATTAATGGTTACCAAAAGGACATTATTGGTACCCTCTGGTTATTTAACATAGCCATGGTATAGATGGCCCATAGAAATAGATGGTTTACCTATTAAAAATGGTGGATCTTTCCATGGCTATGTTACATAACCAGATAGTAATATACTTGACAGGACTCATGCTGCCATGAAGAAGCGATACTGCCACCAGATACCAAGTCCACCCAGGGGCTTGAGCTTTGTCAAGACATTATTGGTTAATAGGTCATTGTTGGTTATGAATCAACAAACATAACTGGGGGGCACCATCCTGCAGATCATCTGCCCAACGCAAAAAAGGCCTTGCATCTCCGATTGCACACCATGCTGTCGGCCGCAGCACGGCTACCAGAAGAGTTGGCGCTGGCGCTCAACCAGGAGCGGCTTCCCATGGTGGGCGCTCGGGGGTTCAGAGCTATGGCTATTTGATGATATTTGATGATATTTGATGATATTTGATGGAATTTCGGTGTCATATGTTCTATTCAATGGGACTAGGAACTGCAAAGCCATCAATTCCCAATCAATTGTCAATCAATTCTCAATAAATTCCCAATAAATTCTCCGATGTGAACCACTTTCAAAGCGACCATCCCAGGATCCAAATCCAACATCCGCGCGCGGGCCGGGGCCCGGGCCGGGGCCCTTGGGACCTTCGGGGCCTTCGGGCTCTCCGGAGATGTGTTGGTCCCTGGGCAGCTGGGCCTTTCCGGAACTGTTCTTCGCCTTCAACAGCGCGCAGGTGGGTGATACCGGTGGATGGATGGGTGGTGGATGGGTTATTGGTGATAGACTCCCTATAGATCTCCATGGATGGATGATGATGGATGGGTTATAGATCTCCATAGTTCCCCTGAAAGAACACCATATGGATGAGATGAAGTCTGATGGGATGGGTGGTGATAGACTCCCGGAAATGGTCAACACAAAGATTCTAAAAGAATCGAAAACCATAGGGTAATTGAATTTATATATAAAGAATATGGATATTCCTGGAAATGGTACAAGAATCAGTTCCCCTAAAAGAACACCATATTGATCTGATGATGATAGATTGGATCTGATTCAAAAGCCTATTGAAACTCGTTCGACACCCAACTTCAGCATTGATCAAAACCAACTATTAGATGCATTTAGATACCCTCTCAGTGCTTACCCTCTGGTTAAACGTTAACATAACTATGGAAAATCACAATTTTTAATGGGAAAATCCACTATAAATGGCAATGTTCAATAGCAAACTGTTAGTCATTACCAGAGCATACCAGAGCCGGTTGAAGTCCTCGCTTCGCCAGGAAGCCGTTGATGAAGGCTGTCGCATCTTCAGTTCCAGCCTGTCCACTTCACCAACGGCGCCTTGGACGGAGAACCTGGCATGGCCAGAGGCAGTTGTGAATTGGGATATCTATATCTATACACACACATATATATATATATACACTATATAATCACACACACACACACGAATATATATGTATATATATAGTATCATGTATATAGTATAATTTAATATATAGTATACTATAACATAATATATTATATTATAATATACTAAACTATATATCATTATTATTATTATCACTATTATTATTATATATACAATATATAATATATAATAATGATAATAATAAAATAATGATAATAATGCTACTAAGAATAAATATAATATTTCAAAATATATATATAGTAACATAATTTAATATATAATATAGTTTAATATAGCATAATATATTATAATATAGCATAGTATAATATAATATAATATATATATATATTGATATGTATAGATATGTTACATATATGTTTAATGATAAATCGCTAAGTTGACTTGTAACTCGGATAGCTAGGGTGTATGAGGGATAACTGTGGTCAACGGGTTTGTAAGCCAGCTATAGTCATACCAGGGCCCTAGAGCCCTAGAGGCAGTTTTGAATTGGGATATCTATTTTTTTCTGGTGATCCTGGAGTTGGCAGATAGAATATGGACTTTAAAAAAAAAACATCATCCAAATAGGACATCAAAAATATCTGTGCACATTCCATTAATTTTGTCTGCTTCAGATTATGATTATGTGCATATACAGAGAGATATATAACTATGGAAAATCACAATTTTTAAGGGGAAAACTCACTATAAATGGCCTTTTTTAATAGCTTGAGGGTATATGGTATCAGATAGATGATTTTCCCAGCAACCTCCATGTAGTTCGCGGCTCTCCCGGCCACGTTTGAGAACCCGCAGAGGGTATATCCTCACGAGAACCCCAACATATTTGATCATATTCACGAAAACCATGATGATTCATCCCATGCGGCTTTTCCCTAGATATTTTACCGTAGGCATTTGACCATAGGTATATTAATGTATATGACCCAAATACCATAATTTTACCACAGGTATATTACCGGGTTTTCCCTAGATATCATAGGGATTTTACCATCGTTTTATCATTTTATAGATGATCTAGATTACCATTTTTACCATAGTTTCCCCTCATTTTACCATTGGTATTGACCCTCTGGTAAACTAGCATAGCTATTGAAAATGGTGATTTATAGGGGATTTACCCATGAATAGCATGGTGATTTTCCATAGTTATGTAAACGTTTACCAGAGGGTATTGATATCCATAACTATTAAATATCTATTAGTTTTATATCGGTATCCATAACTAAACTATTGATAGGATAATATCTAACTATAACTATTTAATAGTTTTATCCATAATCTAATCGCCTTTAGTTATTATTTAATATCCATAACTAAACTATAGGTATCTATCAATAGATAGATCTATCATTGATATCTAGAACCATCATGTAAAACCATCATCTATATCTATATCTATATCTACATCTATATCTATATCTATATCTATCTATGAATCTACGTCTATATCAATATCAATATCTATATCTACATCCATAACTATCTATTGATCGGATTTACCATGGTTTTACATGGATGGTTTTCCCCTTCCGCCGGTCGCCTTCTTCCTCTTAGGATCCCCAAGACTTGTTGCGTGGCGCGCTGCAGCTGGTGCGGCAGAAGGCGGTTGTTGTCCTTGGGATGGCCCGAAAAGGTTGGAAAAATACCCAGGAGATGGCCATTTTGGTGGAAAAATGGTGGAAAAATGGTGGAAAAATGGTGGAAAAATGGTGGAAAAATGGTGGAAAAATCATGGAAGACCATTGAACCATCTTAAAACGATGAAATTTCGGGGGTTAGCCGCGGTTAGCCTATTTTCAGAGCCATGTAGAAAGCACAGAAAATGGCCAACATTTCATGCCATTTTTCAGTTGAACATCATCACCTGAGGAACAAACGCAGTGGGTGGGTAAAACACTGGTTTCTTGTATATAGATGTTCCATTGAATGACTAATTTTATATAGATTCGGATGCTTTCAAATCATCTCAAATCATCTTAAATCATCTCAAATCAGCTCACATCATCTCAAATCATCTCAAATCCCAAGTATTCCCAACATTTCACTTGGTTTAAACCATGTTTAACCTCCTATTTTTTTGGGTTCACCCCTTTTCGCCGTGCAAATTAGCGGCGCTGCAGACCTATGCGCCGCTGGTGGACTACGCGGTCCGTCTCTGCCAGCGGCACTGCGAGCGCATGGCTCAGCGAGCGCAGCCGCATGGCAGGCGGCGAAGGGAACTGGGCGCGCTGTGGGTGGTAGTTGTCGATGGGAAACCATGGGGATGTATCATGGGATATCATGGGATATGTATATATATATAATTGGTATATAATCTAGGGATTAATAAATGTCAATGATATTAATGGCTTTGGAGTTTATATAGCGACTGTAACTAGGGGTAAAAAGAAACTAATCTATTTGGGGGATTATTCCAATCATGTTGAACTGTCAGGGGGTAGTTACAATAAATCCTAAACACTTCTTGGAGTTATGTTTGCCGACCTAGTTCCAATTTATTTTGTCCATGGTTTAGTAAGGGATGGGGTTTACCCATATTTTTCGGACCATAAAATGGGGGTTGTAACTAATTTTAAAGAGGAAAGGGATGATTGCCATTGAAGAGGTGGACTCCCGTTATATTCCTATGATATTTCCAGTACATTCCTATTGTATTTCCATTGTATTTCTATATTTCCGGTACATTCCTATGATATTCCCATTGCATTCTGATTCCTATTGTTTTTTATTCCCATTGTATTCCCACTCCATTGATATTCCCATAGTATTCCTATGATGTTCCAATTACATTCCTCCATATTCCCATTCTATTCCCAGCCTATGGCCTATGCCCATTGTATTCCTATGATATTCCCATAGTATTCTGATTCCTGGTGATGGATGTGGGATTATAGGGATTATTCACCTGTGGAATATATGGGAATAGAATAGACATTCCACAGAATATAATTCCCATATATTTAATGGGAAATTTATAGAATATAGGGATTATATTCCCATTCTATTACCACTGATATTCACCTATGAATTTGGGAATAGGGAATACTATTGATATTCCCATTATATTCCCATATATTCCATATACCCTCTGGTTATTTAACATAGCCATGGAAAATCACCATTTTTAATAGGTAAACCATCTATTTCTATGGGCAATTTTCCATGGCTATGTTAAATAACCAGAGGGTATTCCACCGGTTCATGGGAATATTCACCGGTGAAATTCCCATTAAAACAACCTTTTCGGGGGGAATGGTTCCATTCACCCCATGATTTCAGACCTCCCAATCCTCCAAAGGCCCTGCAAGTTTCGTGGCTCCTCCGGGCGACCCTGTGCATTGCAGGAAGGGCACAAGGAGATGACACATCTGGAGACGAGTTCCCAGTAAAACATCATGGTTTTCCAAAGATATCTTCCTTTTTTTTCTATGACCTATGATGTTTCCAAGATTTTTCCAAGATTTTGTCTCCACATAATTTTCTTTCCACATCATTTTCCTATGGATTTTATGATCGTTCCCATGGAAATTTCCACATCATTTTCCCATGAAACATCGATTTTTCGATGGGTTTTCCCACATCTTTTCGATTCCAAGTCGCAGGAGCCGCACCGCAACAACTTCCGGCCCTGTAAAGTCTGCCTCTGCGGCAAGAGCCAGGTGGAGATGGCCGAAATTTTCCATGGGAAAATCCCTGGGAAAACCATGGGAAAACGCTGGGAAAATGGTGATTTATATGGAAAACTCACAGTTTGCGATGGAAAATCACCATTTTTAATGGGTAAATCAACAACTGTTTTTTTTGTTGAATGGATTCTTTTTACCCAGAAGGCTATTTTTTACCGGAGCCGAGATGTGATGCAAAGTCATGCAAGCCATGAGCAACCCACATTTTTTTTATAGGTTGTCATGATGTAATTGGTCGTCGTGTAAATTAGGTAAAAACAATGATATATGTTTATAGTTCTTACAATTTATCCAGAAAATTCACCAAACAACCATAATATCATGATCACATGCCTCATGCTCATAGTATCACAGTAATCAGATTTTTATATGAATAATTATATATTGATATACCTCAACTGGAATTGCCAATATAGAGTATATATACTTAGTCATGCTATTAATTCCTCGGCCAGTGTATATGATCACTGGGTACATTTACTATAATTTGCTACTGATTCATGTTATTTGAAATTGGCATATAGGTGTGATAAATGATGTGATAAACAATGATAAACCATGATAATCCATGATAAAAACCATGATAAAAAACCATGACAAACCATGGTAAACCATGATAAACCATGATAAAAACCATGATAAACCATGATAAACCATGGTAAACCATGATAAACCATGATAAAAACAATGATAAACCATGATCAACCATGATAAACCATGGTAAACCATGATAAACCATGATAAAAACCATGATAAACCATGGTAAACCATGATAAACCATGATAAAAACAATGATAAACCATGATAAACCATGGTAAACCATGATAAACCATGATAAAAACAATGATAAACCATGATAAACCATGATAAACCATGGTAAACCATGATAAACCATGATAAAAACCATGATAAACCATGGTAAACCATGATAAACCATGATAAACCATGATAAACCATGATAAACCATGATAAAAACCATGGTAAACCATGATAAACCATGATAAAAACCATGATAAACCATGGTAAACCATGATAAACCATGATAAAAACAATGATAAACCATGATAAACCATGATAAACCATGGTAAACCATGGTAAACCATGATAAAAACAATGATAAACCATGATAAACCATGATAAACCATGGTAAACCATGATAAACCATGATAAAAACCATGATAAACCATGGTAAACCATGATAAACCATGATAAACCATGATAAACCATGATAAAAACCATGGTCACATTGGGATCCACCATGGATCGCCTCGTCAGGTGCAAGTGACAGAGACGTTTGACCCACCCAAGGCCAGGTGCAAGCTACCGATGTGGGGTGTCCTCCTTGAGGTGGCTGGAAAAACATAGGGAAATATATGGAAATATATGGAAATATATAGGGGAAATATATGGGACATCCCCGTGGCCTAGCCATGGAGGTTTAGTTCGCAAAAATCATCGAGTTGTATTTTTTTGGGGGGTTGTCCAGCCGCGGTTTCCTCGGAAACCGGAGGGTCAATTTTGTGGTTGTGGATAATTATACCATCTGGTTATTTAACATGGCCATTATTTGTTTAATAGGTAAACCATCTATAAATGGGCCAAATAACCAGAGGCTAGCCAAAGATAGGAGATGAGATACCCTCTGGTTATGACTAACATAGCCATGGTATAGATGGCCCATAGAAATAGATAGTTTACCTGTTAAAAATGGTGATTTTCCGTGGCGAACTGTTAAATAACCAGATGGTATTTTCAACCCTCTGGTAATGACTAACAGTTTGCTATTGAACATGGCCATAGAAATAGTGGATTTACCCATTGAAAATGGTGGATCTTTCCATAGTTATGTAAACGTTTACCAGAGGGTAGGTGGTTTTAGGATTCATTTCATCATGAAATAGCAAAGGTCTACTATTTGGTTTATCCGATAATCCCCGTTTGTTTGCCATGATCCCCGGCATGATTAATCCAAGAACACAAATGATCCTGGATGAGGATGGATATGTGCGATGGCAACCCACTACTCTTTCACCACCACAAACTTGACATTGTTTTCCATGTGTAAAAATCGCCATATATATATATGTATATATATGTATAAAGGTTTCGGCTGACTAGCGATCCCCCCGCTTGTTCAGCTTGTGACCTTAGCGATTGCTTCGAGCGGCAGTCGCGGGCGCTTCTCCCTGTGCGGCTGTAAGCAAGCGCCTTGGCCAATTGCGCTCTGCGGTCACAGTGCAGGACCGCATCGCCTTTGCTTCTGCTCTACCTGTACTTCGAGTCCCTCTTCTTCCTTATTGGGGACATTGAGTACTTCTGGTTCACCCGGTGCACTGCCATAAACCGGGTCAAAGCAACTGTATTTATCTCCATTCATCGGGATTGATCTCTGCTGGCAGGGGCGAGCACACTGATCTCTCGTATTGCTTGGATTTTATTTACATGTTTACAAGGATCTTTCTGGTGTTTTTCTACGTGAACATCATCCAGAATTACGCCAGCCTCGAGAAGGAGATTCAGACGACAGAGGGCGAGAGCCCGCCTGAATTGGCACCTGCATCGACGAGGTTTTCTACGTCTGAGCGTGGCACAGCTCCGGCACATCCTACAGACTCTGAGCAATCACCATTCCAGGGACCCAAAGCTCATTGCCCACGTCAAGGAAGCAATGGAGACCAAGGTCAACCCATGGAGATGCCGCTATTGCATGCGACTGGTCAAAGGAAAGTCAGCGCAGTGCGGTGGATGCTGGAGATTCTGGGGACAATGCCACGACAGCACGTACGTGCATCAACAACATCGTCCAAGTCATGGAGACAATTATACAGGAGGTTGGCAGCAGGCTTCATGGGAAGAATATTACCCATGGCCGAAAGATGGAAACAAGTCACCCAGGAAAAGGACACAGAGTCCCCGACAACGTCAGAACCGGCCGAAGTCGAGGAAGAAGCATCAAGGAGATCAAGACCATGTCGACTACCACAAGGGCAAGGGCAAAGGAGGAGGGGCGGAACAATTTGCTCCATCCACGCAATGGCTTTTGCCGCCATCTTTGCCAGCCAGTATGGAGTCACAGGCGCTTCCCTCCACTGCGACACCTCCTACGGCAATGGGTATGACTTCAACTCCATCCATGCAGCCCTTTGCCAAGCCGAACTTTGGCAAGGACGAGGCAGAATTGCACTCCTTGCGACACATGTACAAGGAGATCAAGAACAAGCCCAACCTGCCGGAGGACATCAAAAAGGTGGTACAAGCCACCGAGAGCACCGTGCGCAAGGTGGATGCCAAAACCCACAGCCAGTTGGTCTCCCAGCTCAATACCATGAGGAAAAAGCTGAACGAGATCGACGAACAATGGGAGGCCTATCGCAATCAATGGGCGAACTACTTAGACAAGGCCTCACAAATGTGGATGAGCCATGTCGAGTCATTCGAGGATGGCGAGAACAAGTTTGCCACAAGACGCAAAGAGGCCCTTCAGAAGTTGCAGGCCACCAGAAGTGCCTTGCACGAGGCACACCAACGCACGATGGAGCAAGATGGTGGCTTGGAAAGACACGACATCGAAAATGCCAAAGAGGCTCTGGACGCATCCATGTCTGTCGAAGAGCCAGAAGAAGCAGAATCGCAACTTGTGCAGATCAAGGAGGACCTCACAGGCATTGTACGACAGGTACGTTCCACCATCGAAGAGAGAATCAGGAAGAGGGACCGCTCGCGACCGCGAGAAGCTTCTGCAGAGATCGAAGAAGTCGAGGTTGTGGAGCCGGCGGACAAAAAACAACGGGATTCCGCTTAGCCCCAAATCCCCATGCGTCAAGTGTTGAGGCCTATCTGGAGTGTTTGACATCCGGTAGGAGGGACGAGGGGCAGCGGAGCGACAGATTTTGCAAAGTTTCCTTTTGGCCTACAGTCACGCTAGCAGCACAGGGCAGCGAGATTGATGAGCAGGGATGCTGCAACTTCTGTCTAGAAGAAAACTTTTCCAACAAGGTGTATGAGATACATCCTTTTCCGCACCATCACTCTGTCATGGAGGAGGCTGATTTCTGTAGCGTGTGGGAGGCGCAGAATAAGGCATTGCTCTTGGCAGAAGCACTACGCTCCAATGCTTTTGATGTTGATTTCGACAAGCGAGCAAAGACCTGGGTGACGTATGCAATTGCTGATGATTCTGCATTGACATCCATTCCATCCTCGCCATTTTGCAAAGTTTTCACATCAGGCAAACCTGTTGGTCATGCACCAGATGGAACCCTTGAGCCTTCTGGACCAAACCAACCTGAACCTCGAAGCGACAGACCTTTGAATCGACCACCGCCCACTGCGGAGTTCCCAGCCTTGATACATCACGTCTGGCAGCGGCTTCTCGAAGAAGGAGTTTCTGAAACAGATGAGGAAGGTCCAGTCTGTCATCTCAACTCATATTACATTAGCCACTTGACTGCCCAACGACAAGAACATGGCCGACCTGTTAGATTCAATGGAAATTTCAGGAATTGGCAGCGAGAAGTTCCCCTTGTCTGGGCTGATCAATTCGACCCCAACAGAGACTATGAGGTGATTTTTGTGGTTCCCGAACCTCCTGTCACTGTTCAACGCGATACAGTTGGAACCATCTTGATCATCCAACACCCGGACGAGACCCGGGCAGCCTGTTTGACCACAGCATGGATTCCTGATGTACCGACTTTCCAAACGATTCAGATCGCCCACTCCTTTCGGACGACGATCGATCGGAACCAACTTCTTCAACATGGTGGCGTACTTGAGCTCTGCAACGACAGACATGATCGAGGTTTTGGAGTTTGCAGAGTTTGCGTGGGTCGTATTGAATATCCACTTCATCGCCCAGTACGCATTCATGACGGGTTGGGGCTTTTGCTGGATGTCCCACCGCCCATGCCACCGAGGGAATGGGAAAACTATCTGGTGGAAAGGATCCGATTGCAGGCGGCCGAGATTCCAAGATTCTTTGAAGAGGACGAGGATGCCCTGAACTTAATGGCTCGGTCGCATACAGCAAGTCTCAATACAGGAGGTCGTGGTACTGACGTTCCAGGTGATGACATGCTCACTTCTGATAGTGGCACTGGCACTTCCTCCTTGACCAGTGACCCATATTGGCAGGCTGTCAGAGTCTTCACCCTTGACAGACAAGAAGTTGACCTCGAGGTTCCCTGGCATGACGGGCGTGAACTTTACCATCGAGTTGCACGCCATTTCCACATTGAACCATCTCAAGTGGATTGGATCTACACGATCGCACATGGACCAGAAGATCTCGCAAGCAACGATCAAGTTGGACTTCTTTTACGTCAACGACACGATCTCCCTGAGGCTGCCATTTTACGACTCACCTTGGTGGATGTTGAGTACAAGCAAGATCGATTTGGCCCGGCAACGCTCATTGACCGACGTGCCAGATGGATCCCACGCAGAATCACCAGAAGCTCACTTATTAGACTTCTTGGTTATGAAGGTCACTGTAGTGAGGATCCATCGAGATGCTGGCTTTGGATCGACAACACACGTGTGCCATTTGAACTTCCTCCAGAGGAGCAATTGCGAATCACACATGGTGACTACATTCGACTTGCTGTACCGGCTTTCCCTGACAGATCTCTCTGTGACACTGGTGAAAATCCTCTGCCACCTGATTTGAATGCCACACATGATCTCATGCTTGCCACAGTGGATGATGTCCAGATTGACGACAACATGCAAGAGATCTTTGATGGTGTAGTGGAGTTTGGCATTGTCACTATGAGCACTGAGACAGAAGATGACACGGGATTCCTGCAGCTTGATGCCAACACTCATCATTTGGGTCCACAGCATGAACAAGGACCTCCCAGCTTTCATAGCTGTTTGGTTTCGAATCCTGGAATTGTCAATCGAGCTCCTGACAGACTCCTTCCTGAAGGACGCCTCCATGATCGCTGGGCACCTCTTCGTGACCTCTGGAATCAACCGAGGCTACAGGTGCGAGGGCTACAAAATGAGCCGGTTATCCACTTTGAGACATGGTATCTCAGTAGCCGTGGCTTTGCTCGCTGTTCCACGTCCAGACGTGTGGCTTTGGGAGATGATTTCCACCGCTGGATTGCCCACTTGAGGAGCACATGGAGAGACAGGGTCAATCCGAGACGGCCAGCCGAGCTAATCATCGCCCAACCCTCCACGATTGGAGAACCAGGTGGCGGACATTTGATCCTCACCCAGGATGTAGCCACAGAGGAAAGAGCCACGTTGTTCAGCGTCTATTGGACCTCTCATCATCGACTACAAGACAGATCAGCCGAACTTGTTAGCAGACGATTCTCGAGAGATGATGTTTTGCAACAATCTGAGCTGCATCTACTGTGTCGTCTTGGCAGACTCCGATGCCGAGTAGCAGTTGGAGCCCATACCATTGAAGCTGACGAAGTATGGCCCATTCAACCTGGTACCCACTTTGATATCTTCACAGACACCCCATTTCAAGAAGAGGTCTTTGACGTCAATGAGGACCAGGTCACCTTCATGCAGAGCACCAACAGTGTAGGCACTACTCCGACGACCTCGCCAAGACCACATGCAGATCAGGGGTGTGCCCCTTTTCTTTTCAATGCTGACGCACCAGCATGGTCGCCCACCATTCCTGCCATCACCACCATGCATGAGACCATACAAGATCTCTATGCCCTCTGGCGTGCCAGAACGTTCTCGTGGGAAGGTGAAGAGCGCACTGGACTGGTGATCACTTGGTACGTGGACCAACAAGATCCTGATCGTCGAGTTTGCAATCGTCCACGTCCAGTTCGTCTCACGTCGACCTACCACACGTGGGAACAGCAAATCCAACAGGCATGGCAAGACACTCTCCTTGCCCATGAACCTTGTCACCTTGCCATTGTCAGTCCAGCACCGCCGCACATGGAAACGGAAGTTGTGGCTCACATCATCCTTGTGCAACGACCTGCTGACACGTTTTGTACCAGCCTTCTGACGATCTATGACCATACCATCCCGCAAGTCGGTACTACTCAGCAGCTCGCTTTGACCACGCATGAGCACATTTTCCTGGAGCAGCTGATCCACAGCCTTGGACGCACCAACCAATGCTTGATGGCAGGAGCGACTCATCAATGCCAGGCCTGGTATGGTTCAATGCGACTAATCCTTGGCACCCCCTTACAGGGTCGGGATGGATATGGACTCGTTTTGCTCTTCAACATGCGACCTCCTGCTGCTGCGGGCATGGCCATGCTTCAGACTCAAGCGAGTCGAAAGCGAGCAGTTGACGAGCGCCTAACACATGGGCAGGTGGCTCACACCCATGGGCCGCAACTGCCTCACCGAATCTGTCTTGAGGAGCTCATCGAGGAACCAGGACCAGCCCTACATCTGGTGCCCTACAAGATCTTATGGGACGTACCCTCACTGGAGCGACCCAAAGAACTTTTCCTCATGGATGGGGCCATGGAACATGACGTCGAGCAGGCCCTTGCGGACCAGCATCTTCAGACGCATGCTTACCAAATGGGTCGCACTGGGCAGTTCTTTTGCGTTCCAATGGCGTGGAATCCACCAGAGGATCAGTTCCACTACCTATATGTCAATCCACATGACACTGATGCTGAATCGGCTTTTCTTCACATGGAGAAACGACCTTTGCATGAATTGGATCATATGCAGTTGCTCCATCGCATTGGCTATACGAGAGCAGTCATCCTGGACATGCATTGTCTCAGATCACGATTGACTCGCATCCTCTACCACAATAACAGCCCGGCCTTGGAGCATATGATCAGTCAGCATAAGATCAAACGAGCCAATGCCTGGCCATCTGAACAGGCCACTACGAGGGTGGGTCCCATGATTGATCTACAACACCTTCAACGTCGGACATCGTCTATGGTCTTAGAGATCGACGTTGAGCTGATCCAGGACTTTTTTCACTCGGCCACGGATCTTTTATGTCCATGGTTTTCCCACCTTGATCTCCCGGAAACCACGTGCACGGCTCTTGCCAGCATGCCCACAGATCCGGATTGGGAGAAGCTCGATCGGCTCATCATCTACACAGACGGCAGCTCACAAGGGCAGCTTCGAAGGCGACCTCCCTTATGGGCGGAGGAGCATGCCAGCACTGATGCATGGGCTTTTCTTGTTCTAGGAGAACGATATGCCAGACCAGATGAGGCGGGTGCCCTGTACTTCATTGGTTGGCAAGCCCACAATGTAGTGTATCGTGCTGACACCACTCATCATTTGGGTACATCCGACCTGGGATCGGAGCATGCAGAACGTGAGGGTATGTTTTGGGCCGGACTTTGGCGTTTGGCTTGCAATAGCACCCTGCCAACCATTTTCAGGCCGGACTCCCTCTCCACAGCTCAACAAGCAATGGGAGAATCTGGCACCAATCACGCCACGGCTCCCTATGTCGCATTGCGATCCACCTTTCAAGCCTTACAATCTGGACTGGGAGAGGGCTTGCAAGTTGACCCGGTTCGAAGCCACATGAACGAACCGTGGAATGACATGGTGGACTTCCTCGCAAAGCACCAAGCCAAACATGACCAGAAACTTACTCGACAAGATGTTGATCTACGCAAGCTCCAGCCTTTCCTGCCGTATTTCTGGATGCTCCTTGACAAGAGGTCAGGACTACCTGACTTGTGCCTGGAAGGCTTTGAAGTCATGCCACCCGATCTACCACCATCATGTAGACCTTCTACCAAGCCACACCATGATTCAATCGCAGGCATTGGTCGACTTGACGTCAGTCTCCTGTCTGTGAATGTGATGTCGCTTTACAAAGGACCTGATGGAGTGAGTGGCAAACTGCATTACCTCCGCCGACAAGTGATTGACCTCAAGTTCAACTTTGTGGGGATCCAAGAAGCAAGAAGTGAAGCTGGCAGAACGTGCGTTGACAATCTTATCAGGTTTGCCAGTGGAGCGGTCAATGGACAGCTCGGTGTGGAGCTCTGGGTCAACCTGAACCAGCCATTTATTCGCACCACTGATGATCCGTCACAAGTGGTCTACTTTGGCACTGACAATTTTCAAGTTGTGCACGCAGATCCACGGAGACTTCTGATTCGAGTCTCCCACCCGAGCTGGAAGTGCATCCTTTTTGTTGGCCATGGACCTCATACAGGGCGCCCTGACGATGAAAGATCTCAGTGGTGGAAGGAGACCATTGCCTTAGTCAGACACTACAGGAGAGGCATGCCTGTCTTTGCATTTCTCGATGCCAATGCGCGCACAGGACCGAGTATGCCGCCGCATATCTTGGAGATTGATGATGTGGAGAATGCAAACACAGCTCTTTTCCGTGAATTTCTTTGCGCACATGATCTTGCGTTGCCTTCAACGAGCAGTTGTCATCGAGGAGACCAAGCCACATGGTTTGCCCCCAATGGAGGACAAGGACAACGCATTGACTATATAGCATTGCCAGTTCATTTTCGCACAGCATGCGCCTTCTCTTGTGTGGTTGAGACGCTGGACCTGGGAAATGCTCGAGATGATCATTTTGGAGTTGGTGTACAGCTCTCCTGGGATGACATTGTTCACAATTTGAAAAACCCCAAGGATAGCAAGACCAAGCATCGCTTTGATCGTGCCAAGATCGGCCTGCCGCAGACCACTGGACTTCTGGACCAAGTTCAACCCCGGCCATGGTCGTGCGACATTCAAACGCACGTCACCCACTTCAATCAAGAGGTCCTTGGAAACCTTGAGCGTACATGCAAGCCTGCTCACAGCAAACCCAAGAAGCCCTACATCTCAGATGAGACTTGGGCCATTAGATCAGAAAAGCTAGAGCTTCGTTCAAGACTCAAGGATTCCAGCAAACAACACCGGCTGCATCTTCTACGAAAGATTTTGAAGGCATGGAGCAGTGACGCACCCATAGAGGAAGATGTCATGCTTGCTGATTGGCGCTTTCAGACCACTTGGTATTGCCGCTCCATTCGTCTTTATGTTCGTTTTCATCAACTTGGGAAACGTCTTCGCCAATGTCTACGCTCTGAAAGGCAACGACATTTAGACCAGGTCTTGAATACCCTCGATGCCAATGCTGCCACTGGTGAGATTTTGCATCGCCTCAAACCTTTCATTGGGCCAACCAACCTCAAGAAGTTGCATGCTCGCACCTTGCCCATGGTCCGCAAACCAGATGGTGAGGTCTGCGAGACCAGAGAGGAGGCTCGAGATCGCTGGATCTCATTTTTTGGCCAGATGGAGGGCGGTCAGAGGATCAGTTTGGATGACCAATGGACACAATGGAGAGAGGGTCTCTTGCAATTCCAGCAGACGCCGGACCTGGCTATGACCCTGCAGGACATTCCCTCTTTGGTGGAGCTTGAACAAGCATATCGGAGAGTTTCCCTGGGCAAAGCGACGGGTCTTGATGGTGTTCCTTCGGAATTATGTCATTATTTCCCGAGGGACATGGCCAGACTCACCTATGCCATGATGATGAAAGCCTGTATCCATGGTCAAGAAGCAGTGACCCACAAAGGTGGGAGATTGGTGCATGTCTACAAAAACAAAGGAGATCCTCGAGAATGTTCCTCCCATCGATCATTATTGATCTCCAGTCATGTTGGGAAGACTTTGCATCGTGCACTGCGACAGCATCATTATCGACTTTATGCCAGTTATCAACAAGGACAACAAGTTGGCGGCAGACAAAAGATGCCAGTAGGTGGTGCCCTGCACATGTCCCGGGCATATCTCCGTTTGCAACGTGAGGCGAAGAGACCTTCAGCGATGATTTTCCTCGACCTCACGGAAGCCTTCTATCGCGTTGTTAGACCTCTGGCGGTTGGAGGCCGCCTTAGCGATCAATGCATAGAACACATGATTGTGAGACTGGGCTTACAGCCGTCAGACTTGGAAGAGCTCTACACACATTTGCGCAGTCCATCAGCACTGGAGCTTGCGGGCGCCCCTGCGCATGTGCAGAACCTCTTGAAGGCCATCCACCACGATACGTGGTTTGTTGTGGACGACCAGGAAGACGTTGTGCGCACGGAACTTGGTTCCAGGCCCGGTGACGGGTTCGCTGACGTCATCTTCGGCTTCCTATGGGGCAAGCTCCTTCGCCAGCTGGAACGAGAGCTTGTGACATTGGATATCCTGGATCATTTTCCTCAAGAGCATGGCCTAGCATGGAACACAGGAGGACAGGACCAGCCTGATCAGAACGCAGGTCCCAACCAGGCCTTTTTAGGCCCAACCTGGATGGACGACCTCTGCGTATGCCTCTCAGCAGAGGACAATGAAGCCCTGACACACAGAATTGGAGTCGTCGCGGGCACGCTCATCGACCTATGTCGCAGCCACCGCATGGAACCAAATCTTCGAAAGGGCAAGACAGAAATCATGCCCAGTTTTTGTGGCAGTGGTTCCCGTGCTTATCGACGCCGATTCTTCAGTCAGGCAACTGGGGCCACCTTTCCAGTTTTATGCGAAACTGGTCTTCACATGATTTCTGTTGTGAGCCGATACATCCATCTAGGCGGCATCCTACACCACAGAAACGTCACAAAAAGTGAGATCAATAGGCGTCTGAGTATCGCACACGGTGCCCTCACACAGCACAAACGACTGCTTTACAAAAATCCTCACCTGACCTGGTGGAAACGCATTGAGTTGTTCCAGACCCTTGTCTTGAGCAAACTTGCGTACGGATTGGAGACATGGACGTTCTCTTGTCATCGCAGTCGGAGCCAGTTTCATTCTGGTGTCATGCGACTCTATTGTCGCCTTTTTGATGGAGCGCATGATGCCCACCGCAGTGATGAGGACATTTTACAGGCCACTGGCCTGCCACAACCTGCTGAACTCCTTCGTCGAGCCAGGTTGAGATACTTGGGCACTTTGTATCAAGCTGGTGACAGTATTTGTTGGGGACTCATCAATCAAGATGCCGGCTGGCTTGCCCTTTTGCGCACCGACCTGGAGTGGCTATGGGCCCAACTGGAGAACAGCACATCCTTGGGACATCCTGGTGAACACTTTGCTGCATGGGAGGAGATCATTCTACACTACCCTGGGTATTGGAAGAAACTCATCAACCGAGGAATTCGCCACGCTTCTCAACAGCGTAGGAAGGAGCATATTGTGGCCAGTTTTCATCGAAGAATTTTCCTCTACCTTGAGAATGTAGGTGCGATTGATCACACTCTCCTACGACAAGCCCCATCAGTTGCCATGGGGCATTTTGGATGTATGCAGTGCAACCAGAAATTCCTGAGTCGAGCAGGTGAAGGTGCGCACCTTTTCAAACGACATGGTATTTGTGCCGAAGCACGCAGCTTGTTTGATGGTACGAGTTGTCCCTGCTGCTTGCGCAACTACCACTCGTACTCCCGTGTGCTTGCACATCTGCGCCATGCACACGCATGCCGTCGAACACTGGTGGCAAGAGGCACGCGATGCACTCCGGTGGCTGGCCAAGGTTCCAAGACTGATGACCAGCTTCTTGCGGCCAATGATGGAGCATTGCCGTTCCTGCAAGCCCAGGGGCCAAGCCAACCTACAGGTGCTCTGCAGGACTTCCTTGACTTTGACCTTGAGACCTATGAAGCCTCTTATGAAGCCATTCTCAACAGCGACACCGTTGACAACGCCATGGGGGCAGTCCGCGAGGTTGTGACATCGCGACCAATCTCGTGGACAAGATGCAGACGCACTCTGGAGCAGCTTCGAGGTGATCTCACGGAAGAGCACTTGGGAGACGTCGCCATCTCTCTCACTGCGCTGCAGCAGATGCTTCAGGAGCTTGCGGACCCCTACGCATGGAACTTCCTTGCTGATGATGAGAGGTCCTTCAAAGGCAAGCTCGGTGACCATGTACAATTTTGGGAAGCACGTGCGCAGCACTTAGTGGAAGAAGGCCGGCAGCTATCTGGTAACTCAGGGCCTCATCGACCTGTAGGACGACACCGGATTTTACTCCACGCATTTTCCGGCCGACGTCGACGCGGCGATGTGGAGTGGTATCTGAACATCTTGACGGAGAAACATGCGGGATGCATAGTCCACGTTGCCTCATTGGACATCATCATCGACCCTATCTATGGAGATGTTGGCCGTGAAGGCACTCGCTCTACATGGCTGCATGCCATTACGCAGGGTTGGGTGATAGCCTTTTTGGGAGGCCCACCATGCAACACTTGGAGCCGTGCCCGCCATGTCCAAGTCAAAGGAGGGCCACGTGTTGTACGACATGTGGATGAGCCTTGGGGATTGCCTTCTCTCCGCTTGCGTGAAATGGACCAGATCATTATGGGCAACCTCTTGCTTGGATTCGCCTTGGAGTGCATGACCCTCCTCGCCATCTATGCTGGTATGGGCGTCCTTGAGCACCCGAAAGACCCGGAGATTGACTTCATGGTTTCTATCTGGCGGCTTCCGATTGTGCAGTTGATTTTGCTGCTGCCCAATACCAGGATGATCACCATGGCCCAAGGACTCTTGGGAGCACCCAGTCCGAAGCCGACATCTTTGCTGGTTGTGGGCCTACATGGACTTGAAGACGATCTACGTGGACATCGGCTAACGCCGGATCTCCCCCACGGTCAATCTGTGGGCCGCGGTGCTGATGGGGGCTTTTTGACCGCTCCACTCAAAGAATATCCTCCAGCTATGTGCAGAGCACTAGCACAGGCGTTTTTTCGTGGTATGTGTGAACCTCGTGAAAAGGCACCATCCACGGCGCCCCCTGAGTTCCTGCGTCTTGTGAGACGTATGCAGGACTCAGATTTTGGCCATTTCATCGGCCACGATGGCTAGGCACAGTTCCTTGGCCTTGAATGCATGAGACAGGCCGCTGCGTGAACGCAACTGTGTGCCCCTGGAAAAAAAAATATATGTATATATATGTATATATATATATTATATCCATATATTATTTCACAAATGAAGACCTATTGACTCTCTGTTCACGAGTGCAGCATGTTCCAGGTCCATCTATCCCAGCGCATCCAGGTCACTAAGGATGGGCTGCCGCCCTTCGGAGCCTGTTGTCACAACGTGCAGTTCCTGCCCTTTCTGCCGGACATCTGCGATTTCGACGACCCCGCGCCCTGGCCGACCTATGCCTGACTCATGGGACTCATGGGACCCAAAAGACATCCATCGGCTGCAGAGGTTCCTGTCACTGAGGTCCTGATACCTCCTTCTCCACGCTGCTCAATTGCACTATGTTGGAAAGATGAGTGTTTTTGGAGGTGTTATGCCTATGACGTTTTTATTTTTGGAAGGTACCAGGTGGTTTGATGGGGGAGATGGTTGATGCTTGGGAATTGTCGAGAATGGGTTTTAGGAAGTGAAATGATCGTGATTTATCTCCCAAGAAGGACTATTTTGTTGGGGATCTCCAGGAAAAATGAGGGATAATCTACCATCTGGTTATGACATTCACAGTTTGCCATGGAAAGATCCACCATTTTTAAGAACGGTAAACCATCCATTTCTATGCGCCATCTATACCATGGCTAGTAGGGGGATGGTGTGTGGTAACCCTGGTAACCCGGCAGTGGGACGGCAGATGGGATGGCCTGTTCTTGACGACAGAGAGATGGAGAATCAGGTGTACTCACCTCAGCATTGATCTCTGGAATACCCATGCTAGGGATGAACATAATCTGGTTGGTGGTTTGGAACATGTTTTATGACTTTCCATTCAGTTGGGACTTTCATCATCCCAACATATCCCAACTGACGAACTCCATCATTTTTCAGAGGGGTTGAAACGACCAACCAGTAATTAGACAATAATGATTAAGCATCACAAAAATCCAGCTCTATGAAACTCTGCGACATGAAAAATCCGCTGGACGATGTTATTATTATTCACTGTTATTATTTCACTAGATGGTGAATAATCTTGAATAATGGTTACTACCATACAGTAAGAACTTATTAGTGGTTACTACTATAATGGGTCAATCAAGGTTATTATTTTTATTATTCACAATTAATGGTTACTCTGGATCAACTATAATGGTTTTTATTATTCTTCACTATTATAGGTTATTATTCACTATCATTCACTATGAAATTCATGATTTTTCACTATAAACTATATTCACTATAATTCACTATTATTCACTATTATTCACAATTATTCACTACTATTCACTATTATTCACTATTATGCTGGATCAACTTATTCACTTATGAACTATAAACTATTCCCTATGATTCATGATGATTATTATTCACTATTATTTTCAACTATACTAGTGGTTACTACAATGGTTATTCACTATAATTGTTTTTCACTACAATGGTTTTTCACTATAATGTTACTATATTAGTTAATGATTATTATCATATAAACTATTCACTATAGTGATTATTCATGATTATTCACTATGAAATTCATGATTATTCACTATTTATATCATTCACTATAGGTTATTATTGATATCATTCACTATTTATATCATTCACTATTCACTATAGGTTTTTCTATTCACTATAGGTTGTTGTTCACCATTAATGGTTTTTATTCACTATTCACTATAGTGATTACTCATGATATCAACTATTGATTAGTAATAGTAACTATTATTCACTATTATTCACTATAATTCACTATTATTCACTATGAAATTCATGATTATTCACTATTATTCACTATTATTCTGGATCAACTTATTCACTTATGAACTATAAACTATTCCCTATGATTCATGATGATTATTATTCACTATTATTTTCAACTATATTAGTGGTTACTACAATGGTTATTCACTATAATGGTTTTTCACTATAATGGTTACTATATTAGTTAATGATTATTATCATATAAACTATTCACTATAGTGATTATTCATGACTATTCACTATGAAATTCATGATTATTCACTATTTATATCATTCACTATAGGTTATTATTGATATCATTCACTATTTATATCATTCACTATTCACTATAGGTTTTTCTATTCACTATAGGTTGTTATTCACTATTAATGGTTTTTATTCACTATTCACTATAGTGATTATTCATGATATCAACTATTGATTAGTAATAGTAACTATTATTCACTATTATTCACTATAATTCACTATTATTCACTATGAAATTCATGATTATTCACTATTATTCACTATAATTCTGGATCAACTTATTCACTTATGAACTATAAACTATTCCCTATGTTTCAATAATAATTAATGTAACTATCAATAATTATCCAATAATAGTGGTTCATTATTGGTAACTATAGGTTGTTATTCACTATCAATGGTTGTTAGTCACTATTCACTATAGTGATTATTCACTATCAATGGTTATTATTCACTATTATTCACTTATGAACTATAAACTATAATAGTGGTTTATTATTAGTAACTATATTATAATGGTTATTCACTATAATGGTTACTACATTAGTTAATGATTATGATATAGTAATATTATTCACTATTCACTATAGGTTTTTCTATTCACTATAGTGAACTATAATATTATTCACTATAATGTTATTCACTATTATTCACTATTATTCACTATTATTCTGGATCAACTTATTCACTTATGAACTATAGTAGCTATCAATAATTATCCAATAGTGGTTCACTATATAGTAACTATAAACTATATAGTGGTTCATTATCAACTTATTCACTATTATGAACTCTAAACTATTCCCTATGATTCATGATTATTCGCTATATATTAACTATATAGTAACCATTGCCATATTCATTATCTGCTGAGTCAACATTATTTTTCCCTGGCGCCAGGCCTGGCGAAGGTCCAGCGCGGCGGCGCGGCGCTGGCGGCGCTGCCCTCGGCGCTGCCCGAGGCCAACGGCTTCGTGGCGCTGGTGGCGGACGCGCCGATGCCGCTGGATCCGCTGGACCCGGGGCCGTGGCGGCGCTTGGGGAAGGGTTGGGGTGGGAGTTTCCAGAGTTTTCCCAGTAAAAATGGTGATTTTCCCATGAAAAATGGTGATTTTCCATGATTTTCCAATGAAAAATGGGGATTTTCCCATTAAAAATAGAAAAAAACTATGGAACATCTCCATTTTTAATGGGTAAATCAACTATAAAATGGCAATTTTCCAGAGTTTTCCGAATAAAAATGGTGAGTTATCCCATGAAAAATAGGGATTTTCCATGGTTTTTTGTGAACGTTTACCAGAGGGTATATGGTGAAGTATGGTGAAGTGTACTTTTATCTAGTAATTATTGACTTACTGGTGCGTTTTACGTAGGGAATGGAAGAGTTGCTGGGGGTTGCTGGGATGATGAAATTACTAGTGATGAAATGGATCATTCCCGAAAATTCCCTGCGTTCAGCACCAGTAAGAAAATCATGGGGGGAAATATGTTTGGGTGAATATGTGATGTCATTGATGGATTTGAAGATGAAGTATCATATGATGTGATTATAGGAATGTGGGTAAAACAATGTTATAAACCATCATAATACTGGAAAGTAGATGGAACAAGGATGACATATGGACACTGACTAATAGATGTTGTTTTTTTTGGTCCTTGTGTTTTTTTTCAGGGTGACACGTCACGAAAATGATGGATTTCAGAATACGGAAACCATGTTTTAATGTTGTTTTGCCGTATGATGGGCATGAATTTAAAAATTAAATGTGACATAATTGTACTATTGAGATCCATTTTCATTGCTAATTAGGCCCCAGTTGTAGCTGGGATATTGGATCTTTCTTGTGTTAACGATGCAATCAGATCGCTGGTTTCGTTCGGATCATCCAATATCGTACTGGTGTCACCGTGGGAGCTCAAGGATTAGCCTCCGGTATTCAAACCTGGCAATGCAAAAACCATAGCCACAACATTGATAGAGAAAAAAAAAACCCAGCGAAAACCTCCATGGCTAGGTCGGGGATGTTCCATATTTTTCCTCTATTTTCCCTATGTCCGATGTTTTTCCCCATGGGTTTTCCAGGGATTTTTCGCCGAACTTCATCCCTAGGGACCTCCCAAAATCCAGGAGGGTGCCCGCCTTCCTGGCTTCGGAGATCAGCTGATGCATCTGAGCCGCTGGCGTCTCCCGGGCCCGGTTGCGGGGCCAAGCTCGTTGGACGTCTACGTGGGCTTCGAGCACCGCGGCCGTTGATATTTTGGGAATGGGAACCATGGAGGAACCATGGAACCTGGGAATTTTCCGAGGAATTCTTGAGAAGTTACCCTAAACTGGTAAATTAACAGTTTGCGAACTGGAAAATCACCATCTTTAATAGGAAAATCACCATTTTTAACTAACATAACTATGGAAAATCACAATCTTTAATGGGTAAATCACTTATTTCTATGGGCCATTTTCAATAGCGAACTGTTAGTCATTACCAGAGGGCAAACAGAACTTGGTGAACTGTTGGGTTTATGTGGGGTATAACTGCGTTTTTTTGGGGGTTTATACACCAAAAATCAACAAACGTAACATAACGTTTGGGGCCCCACGAGATTTGTTTGGCTAGAAATGCGATGGGAAGCAGAAAACCATGGGAAAACATGGGGATCCATGAGGATCAATGGGGGTTTGATTGGCCAAGTTATGTAAGCAGTCCAGATGGTGATTCCAAAGTTGGGGTTTCAGCACCGGAAAAAATGTGAGATGAAGAGGGATGACTTAGTCCAGGAGTTTGCTGATTTGAGCAATGTAATCAGTGAAGGGACGGGTGGATCATGTTGGGAGGATGTGTAAAGAACCAGGTACGGCATAATGTAACCACCTCAAGAGTACATTAACATACATTAACTGACACTGAACAAATGGAGAGAGAGAGAGAGAGAGAGAGAGAGACATTGGAGCATTAAATTGCCCAAGCAATTGATAATTACGCAGCAGCCTCTGGTAGCAGCTCTTGGTGGATATCTTCCCCGACCTTTTTTTCTCACCGCTTTGGTCGAGGTATTTGTGCCCTTTGGGGCATCGCTTCTTCGCCCCACCACCCAAGTACTCCGGGCTGGTCTGGGGCCCCATGGGGTCCCAAGGGCGGCACAGAAGCAACCGGATCATAGCAGTGTCGTCTTCTAAAGTTTTGTTTTACCCTCTGGTAATTTAACATAACTATTGACAATACCCCATTTATAGTTGATTTATCCATTCAAAATGGGGATTTTCTATAGCTATGTTAGTTTACCAGAGGGTAAAACATGCTAGACCGCTGGGCCCTGCACTTACAATAAATTATTCTGAACTTGTGAAACGGAGCCGCTGTTCCTACAAAAAATGGTCCATTTTGCGAGAACAATGAGAGGTTTGAAGTTACTTTTTGAAAGGGCACGGGTTGGGAACCTTGGGAATTTTGGTGGGGGAGATGATGGGAGATGATGGGAGATGATGGGAATGGAATTGATGGTATCACGTGACATTTTATTTGGATTTTCGGTTCGGCGCGCGGAGACAAAACCCAGCCATGGTTGAGTTTCCATACCCCAGATATGTAATTCTGAACAGGAAGAATGATGCTGGTGATGCTGATGCTGCTGATGAGAATCATCAATAACAACAATGAATATTAGTAACGATCATAACAACAATAGCAGTCATGATAATGATAACTGATAACTGATAACTGATAACTGATGATGATGATGATGATGATGATGATGATGATCCTCATCCTCATCCTGCTTCTGCTCCATTTGAATTGGTTGTGCCCACTTTCCATCCCGGCTTTGGCGTCGCAGGAGTCTGAGGGCAAGCGCCGGGGCCGCAGGAAGGAGCAGGGACCATCTCTGGACGAAGGCAGTGAGGGATGGTTCCAAAAAATGGTGCTTTCATGGTGATTTAATGGGATTTTACGGGATTTTATGGAACTTAATGGGACTTAATGGTGATTTCATGGGAAATGATGGGGATATGCTAGGGATTTATGCAACAAACTAGGGATTATTTAGCGATTTATGCAGCCAGAATGGTGACTAAATGGGATATTAATTAATGGGGGCATTAACATATATATATATAATTATATATGTATATGCATATGAATGGGATATTAGTAATAATAGTTTATGATCATTCTTCGGGATTTGATATATTATTTAAAAAACAAGCTGATATTATCCTGAGATATCCCCCGTGCCAGGTGACCTGCAATCGATTCCCCTCTGTGGCTATCGCCTCTATGTCTTCTGTGTACAACATCGACGACACAAAGGCGGGAGTTTTCCAGATTTTTCCAGGGTGTTTTCCATTGGAAAGATACGACAACATGGGGTCAATGACCAACAACCATGGGGATTCATCGGGAAACATCGGGGGAATCCATTGGACATATCTTTCAGATGGAGGGCCTCCAGGGTGGGCCTTTTTTTTCGGGGCCAACTCGGATAGGACTCAGATTTGCCCTCTGGTAATGTGACAGTTAACTGGAAAACCTACATGATGCGTAAATCGAGCCAAGCTGGTGACTACCAGAGGGGACCCAGAATGATTTAACCAACACCGTTCTTAACTTTAGATTATAGTTGTTTTATCCAATATCATAGGGTAAATTTAACCAATCTTTATCATAAATATTTATCCAATATATTTAACCAGAATGATTTCACCATTGATTTTGATCACCCAAATGTGGGATATGATTGATAGAAATGGCTTATTGCTTATGAAATAAGGGGTTATATATATACATATATATATTACCTGGTAAATCATTTAATTTGGGGATAGCTATATCTCCTACACTTGGGATACCGGGATACTTAGCAACCAACGGCCGTGACATGGAATTGGAAAGGAGGATCTTAAACTTTGCCAAGGTTGGCAACGGGTTGGCAACAGCTCCCGAGAGAGTACTGCTAGTCAGTTGCCAAACATACATCATATACCCTCTGGTAAACTAACATAACTATGAAAAATCACCATTTTCAATGGGAAAATCCACTATAAATGGTCATTTTCAATAGCTATGTTAAATTACCAGAGGGTACATCATATATCTGATTGGTGGTGACTGGAACCATGGAATTTTATGACTTTCCATATATTGGAAATAATAAGCCCAACTGGCGAACTCATATTTTTCAGAGGGGTAGGTATACCACTAACCAGATATCATCATATAACATCATATAACCTCAAGAATGGCACTGTAATTATCGGCACATGACCTTACCATTTCCGACCTAGCAGTTTGGGTTTCATATATATATATACCCTCCAGTAAATTAGCATAGAACCTGCCAGATAGGGGTTGGAAGATTAGTTTTCATTTCCACTATTTTTATTGGTCATTTTCAGGCTCGAACTGTGAATTTACCAGAGGGTAATCACCCCCAATAAACCCATACAGGATGGTGCCCCCCAGTGATCTTTGTTGGTTAGGTTTATAAGCCCCATGAGCTATATATACCCTCTGGTTATTTAACATAGCCGTGGAAAATCACCATTTGTAATAGGCAAACCATCTATAAATGGGCCATCTATACCATGGCTATGTTAGTCATAACCAGAGGGTATATATTTCAGTGTGCAGTACAGCCAATTTTCCCAGCAACGGCGTGCAGAGCTCACAGGTCGAAATCGGAGTGACCCACCCTGCGTGGCACAACTCATGCGCATCTGGGTGTCCTGGCGGGAAGATCAGCGGTATGGAGAAATACCCGGCCTGGTAAACATACACAAAACGATGGAAAATCACGATAAAATCACACTGTTTACTGGGTAAATCAACTATTTCTATGACCATTTTCAATAGCAAACTGTGAATGTTTACCAGAGGCCATTCTTAAAGTTTATCAAGACACATCAGGATGTAACCCAACTTTGCAACAGCAGAATTCCAGGGTGCCGAAAACCGGTTGCCGCCACCGGTTTTCGATCTTGGTAACCAAACGAGGAAAACGACTCCCAGAGAGTGAAACCCAACAAGCACCGCTGCATCATGTTTGTCTCATGGGATGAGACATCCTCAATATAGACATCAAGAAAACATTTTTTGGGGTCAAACCATGAAAAACCTGTTGATCATCTTTTTCGGGCAAAAAATGTTCCCTAGACGCCCAACAGCTACCCCACTAGTTGGCCAACAAAATCATGCAAGAAAAGCATGTGGAACCCCAAAAAAAGCTTCATTTTCAATGGATTGGTCTAAGGTAAAATCTACAGAAAACCCCCATATTGCATGGGAAAATCTATGGTTTCCAGTTTCGATGTTCCCTTTAAATCCTATCCATTGATCCATTAAATCTTTTCTATTATGTTCACATCTTTCAACCCATGATCAATGGTGAATCCCTCATAAATCATCTCATCTCTAGATTTTTTTTGGATTTTCCAATTTTCCCAGCACCAGGTGCAAACACCTCGTCGCAGGGAGGTCATCGAAGCGGAACCCAGGGTGCAAATGGTGGACGTCAAAGGCACCGTGGGTAGGGTCGTGGTCGTTTTCTGGGTTCCCAAGGATGGGTGCGAAATCCTGCACCGCCACCAAAAGGATGGTAGACACCCAACAAAAATAATGGGATGTTTACCATCAACTGGTGCAGAATTTCTTGACTATCCCAACCATATGAAGGTTTTCACAGGTTTTTTTTTGGTTAAAACGGACTTCTGGTGACCGTTGTTGTCAAAATGGGACGACGTCAAGTACGTACGGCCCCCTCAAAGATTGCTTGGTTGTCTGACATCAAGAGATTTATATGATGCACTTCTAAAAGACATCATCAAAAAAGTTGATATCTATATATATATATCATCATCAATAAAACATGAAATCTAGTCTATATCTATCTATATCTTTGAATCATATATCTATATCATCTATCTAAATCTATCTATGAATCTACGTCTATATCTAATATCTAGTCTAATATCTAATATCTATATCTATATCTATATCATTATCATATCTATATCATTATCATTACCTATATCTATATCATATAAACTTCCATAAGTATCCATAAGTCCATAAATCATAATTTATCAATCGGTTATCGCGTCGCCAGGCGAAGCGGGCCCAGATGGCAGAGCGCCTGAGGTGGTGATGACAGGCCGAACTGAGGTAATCTGTAGGGACATTGGGGTTTAACCAGCAGAAATGGTGGTTTCATCATGGTTTCATAGTTGATTTATGGTTGATTTATGGTGGATTTATGGTTGATTTATGGTTGATTTATGGTTGATTTATGGTTGATTTATGGTTGATTTATGGTTGATTTATGGTTGATTCATGGTTGATTCACGGTTGATTTATGATAGTTATATATAAGTTGGTAATTTGACATCACTCTCGTGAAGTGTTGGAATTATTGGAGATACAACTACAGTATTCAGTGGGGGCCCCAGGGCGCCATAGGTGACCAGCTTAGGGAGGATCATGGGTCCCAATTCCAAGCTCTGTGCAGTTTTTTAACGCCACTGTGAGAGTGAAGAACTTGGAGTTTCTCGCACTGTATTCACTCTAGTCTCAGCGGCATTGTTGAAGGGGTTGGCCTGGAAATCCTTCCATAACAGGTCTACACACATCACTTTTCGGGCCACCAAGCATTGCGCCATGAGGTGGAAAGGTGGTGCTCCCCCCGGGCATGTTGGTTCAACTGGTGCTGCCTTCGGCCTACTACCGTGCCTTGAGTTTGGCTGTGGGATGGGGCTGTGGAAATCCATATGGCTTTTCCGAGGAAGGATCAACAAATGGCGGATGTTCCACAGCTATTCTGGTTTTTGGATTGGAACATGAATTTTATTTTCCATAATATATGGGATGTCATCCTTCCCATTGACGAACTCATATTTTTCAAGATGGTTATTATTGCACCACCAACCCGTATTCTACTTTACAACAGGTTGTTGCCCCTTTTGAACCCATTTTCCAGTTCCAAAAAAATATTCTCCTAGAAACCATGGTTTGTAGGTCATGTTTTTTATTTTTTAATGCGTAGTTGGGACCATAGAATGGGGGTATAACTGGTATTGGGGAGAAAGTTACATTGGCACGTTCATTCGCATTACATTCCTGAGATATGTCTACCACAGATTGTAATATATATATATAAATATTATATATATTATAATGTTATAATATATATATATATATTATGTGTATATATACATATACACAACATAAATATGCCATGATGTTCCCATTAAACCAACTGGGGGATGAACCGCCGTTGAAACCGAGGCGCCAGCGGCGATTTGCCCAGCTTCTGGGAACTGAGTTCGGAAGCGGTGGACCGGTGCCGCTTGCTGCTTGGCAAAACGACGCTATGATCGACGTAACGGGTGAGGAGATCACGAGATCAATCAGAAATTTTGGTCCAACAACGGGACATTCATAAAATATGTTTCTTTATATGTATATATATTATATATATAGTCAGATAAATTAAATAAATAAATAAATGACTCTATATATATATATATAAACGTAGAGATGTAGATTCTTGTCCAAAGCAGAGCAAACAAAACAACAGATACAAAAATCTAAGTGCGTGCTGGGTATCTCAGCTTGGCCAAGTTGAAGGTCAGTTTGATAATTAGATGAGGATTAAAGATTTTGATGGGAACAGCTGTGACTTCGCTCCTGCTGAGGTTACCATATCTATTGACCCTGCGCCCTCCATCGTGATCCGTGATGTGACCACGGTTTGCGCGTCGTTAGCGCTGTCTCGGGGAGCCCATCTATGAAAACTCGGCGAATGGAATTGGCTGGGCACTTGATGCCTCTGCTGAGAGCTGCAGCAGCTGCGAAAAAATCGAAGATTTTCGATGACCTGGCGATGAATGTGGCCGGCCCCGGCCTCGAGAATCCTGGTGCCCGGGGGAAATTTCCGGCGTCAACGCGGCGCACTGCGTGAGGGTAGCTAACCGTTTAACCATTGCGATGCAGTGCTAGGCAGTCCGCTGTAGTTTCATATGGTTTCACCGACAGCGAAGCATTGAGGCAAGATGAATAGGGAAGACAGGTCGGAATAATTATGCAGGTATGTGCAGGTAGCGGTGTTGTCAGCTGCCAATCTTTGATAGCTTCCAAGTATTGCAGATGACGATAAACCAATGGGGCCAGTTATGAGAGCCCATGTCACCATGGACCTTTCCAGACACACCGAACTGTCTTCCAGACTGCCCAACGCAATGCAGATGCCATGATCGCGGCATGAGACATTGACATGGACGCGCATCCTTTAAAAATCCAGCAGCGTGGCAGGCTGAAACCGTGGCCATCCGTGGCCCGCTATGGGATGTCGAACAAATCCCGTGAAATCCCAGGAGATCCCTCCTGTTTTTCATTGACTCATGTGACTAAGGCCCATATCAACCTGGCTGCCATTTCCAAAGAGGTGGGGACACCCGGGCCTGGCCTGGAATAGCCATCTGGGACTCGGGGTCTTTGCAGCTGGTAACTGCACATCATCATCATCCTTCTAGAAAGGAACTAAAATTCCATGTCTTTTGCCACGTGTAAACCACATGAATTCGTGAAATAACCAATCCCATTCTTGTATCACCATTTTTACATACATTTTTAGGTATGTTCCCCCTTTTCCTCCCTTTTTTGTTGTGGAACCACCTGAGCCACCTGGTCCCCAAGTGTCGTTTGACCACATCCCCAAGTGTCACCTGGTCTCAGGAGAAAGTCGAGGCGGGGCCTGGAGATGACAAGTTGACCAATATCCAAAGACCTCAACATCATATTATGACCATATAACGATATAAATGGTATCATCATATTATAAAATAGTTTTTTTTAGAAAAAACCTATAAAATAACCTAAAGTCACATCGAATAACTTAAGATATAGACGGTATCATGAATGTTTCCAAGCGGTAATTATCTTGCAAAAACAGTTCACCGGGTAGGTGGAGCAAGGAGCTGAGGAGGCGTGGCACCGCACCATTCATTCATTGGATCCAGGTTTTTGATGACGTTCCAAAGTTTGGAAAGATGATGTATAGTTACCATAAACCTGAAATACTTATGGATGCTTATAGAGGGTATGATTTCCAATGATTTCCAATGATTTCCAATGATTTATCGGTTTGCAACTTGTTTGATCTTATCTGAATCTGGGGATTGCTATACCATGCCCCTCAAGCTGGAGGAGGATTCTGTTCGACTGTTGGATGGCAAGTGTGCTTGGATTTTTTGGTCACTCTAAGTTTCTCTGGAAGTGGGGTACCCCTACAGTCCCACGGTTTTCATGTGTTTTCATCATCGTGTTTTCCTTGAAGATCTTGAAATAACCACTAACATCCACTAATTCACCACATCTTGGAGATCATATTAATTATCAGGTTCCTCATGAAAATTTGCCAATTACCCATATTACCCTCTGGCAATTACTAACATAACTATTGACAATTGCCATAGAAATAGTTGATTTACCCATTAAACATGGTGATTTTGCAGTAGGATACACAATTTTCAGCCGGGTTTGAGATGAACAGCACCCTGCAGCGGAGTAGTTCGATGTTTTTCGTGTAACAATGCCCAGGTGCAGTTGATTCAGCACATCTTCAACAAAACGCTGCTTGCTGGAGACCCCTGTGGTTCCTCAAACTTGTTCGATGATTCGATGATCATTTTTTTCTCACAATTCGTTCACTGCTGATGATGAAAAATGATGTTATATGGTGGTTAAACATGGTGAAACCCGATCTTGCGACTAGAACTAACAAATAAACTGTCCAGTGGTTAGGAAGGAGCCAAGGAGCGGTATTCATGTCACATGGGAGCCAGGGAGCTACGAAGAGTTTCCCAACCACCTGATAGTAATGATCGAAAAAGGTGTGTTTGGACGCCTTTTATTGGATGATCATCCCACATGTCATCATCAAGTACGAAAACGCATATCAACAAAACAAAACAAACGCATCCTCCCCAAACAGAATCTATCAACATATCAATCATCACTGCAATTTCTCATGTTGTTTTATCAAAAATATCATCGACACCGTCGACACATCAACGAAATCAGCGAGTTTTCTCACGTTTTCTCAGGGTTTACTTGGTGTTTTCCCATGGTTTTCTCATGTGTTTCATCCCATTTTGGCTTGGTGTTTCCTTCCATATCTCCATCTTTTCCATTTTTCCCATGGTTTTCCCATGGTTTTCCCCATCCTCCCGTCCTCCCCATCCGCCGGTTTTCTCAGGAAGGTTGCTATCATCAGCTGGGGCCGCTACGTCCCGTGGCCGGTGGTGCAAAATCTGCTGGCCGCCGGCACCCAGGTGAAGCCGCAACTGGAAGAACGGGAGGCGCAACTGGAAGATGGGGGAGATGGGTGCGCTATGGCTACTATCATAGCTATATCATATAATATATTTATATATATGTTTATATATATATATCTATATATATCTATAGAGTGTATACTATGGCTACTGGTGTGTATTTATATTATATATATATATATCTAGCTAGCTATATCAATATATCTATAGAGTGTGTATATATATATATACACTAGTAATAATAGTAATCACAATAACGATATTATCATTAATAATTATAATAGCAATAACATGGTGATGACGATGATTATGATGATTAGATTCCCAGATGGGATGGAGGACTATAGCGCGCAAAAAACCATGGGTTTCCACCAGTTTTTGGCCATGGCATATTTGATGATTTGGGAGGGCTTGTGAGGAGAGGCTTGAGGCAATTAGTGTGATTCATTTGGAACAATGCCTTCATTGTTGGATTGATTTAAAGGAACGCCTGCCAGAAAACATTTCTGTTTGGTGGCAACTGCGATTTCCAGGAGCATTTCGATCAAAGAACGCCATTGACAATCAGAAATTTGTTGGTAAGATCTCCGCTAATTATTGGAAGTCAAATCCTCTGAAATTCTCATTTAGCACAGCAATCATAGCTATTTTTTTACATCGCATTTCTGCTGAACCCTCACTTTCTCCCACAGAAATCGCTCCGATTAAGCCAGGTAAGCCTTTTCTTCTCTGACATGGCTGGCTTCACAAGTCTCTCGGAGAAGGGGCAGCGGCTGTAATAACGGTTGCAGTGACCTACAAGGTGGCGATAGTAGATGATGAAATTGGATTTTGCATGGGGAGTAAAACAACTGGTTGGTGGTTTGGAACATTTTTATTTTTCAATATATTAGGAATAGTAACCCCAACTGACTTTCATATTTTTCAGAGGGGTGGCTCAACCACCAACCCGACAATATAAATTGATATCAAACAATCAATGGACTTAGGGGGCTCTTAAAATACCTAGGGCCATGTGGGTACCCCAAGTGATCATCATATATTGGTAGCTTACAGCCAGCCTTCCAGCCGGTACCAGGTATAGTGGAGCAGTTAGTGCCAGAGCAGACGTTGGTGCTGCTGAGCCGATATTTCAACGATATGTCGAAGATGCCACTCGATTTCTGCAAACCTTGGGCGTAACGTTGGGCGTGTCATCCATTGTTTGTTTAAGGTGTTTGTGTCGTGAATTTTCCCGGAAATCTGAAAAATCCCCACCATTTAAGCGGAATCTATTTTTTGAGCCCCTTAAGCAACTCCAAGTCACAATGATGATGTTCAAGTTTTGGGACCCAGACCTCCATAAATCATCATAGAGAGATCCACTGGCTGATGTTTTTGTGATGCAAAAACAGGGTGAAGCAAGGATTGCAGTATTCCTCATCAGCCGCCAGTTTTTTTGGTTAATTTCCTGCCCTTCTTCTGGCTTTTGAGATGTTGCTGTCCCTATGATTCTAGTTCGATGGGATTACATGATGATTACATGTTTGCGACCGTTGGGTTGGGTTCCCCCCAAACATTGGTTTACCCTCTGGTAAACTAACATAGCTATGGAAAATCACCATTTTCAATGGAAAAATCCACTATAAATGGCAATTTTCAATAGCTATGTTAAATTACCAGAGGGTACGTTGTTTACACGGTTCCTGCTCCCATCTCACTCACCTTGCTACCTTTCTCTTGGTTGAGACTTTGGTTGACCATGTTCCAAAATTCACCTCATATCTGGGCTTGACTTTCTAGCCAGGGCTTACAAGATCTTACAAGGTTGGCATTGGATACTGTACTTTGTTTTAAAAAAATATGTTTAAATAGATTTATAAATAAATAAATAAATAAGTATATAAATATATATATATTAATATCTGTAAACCTTTCAGCCTTGCCTTAGGTCCCAAAAAAAAATTCTCCAGCCACCAAAAGCCCCGCATTGCTTCAGCATCGAAAGCTTCGACGGTGTGGTCATCGAATTCATCGGCGACGCCATTCTGGCGGTCTTCGGCGCTCCGGCCAAGGTCCGAGATCATGTGGCCTGGCTGAAAAACAGCGGCGGCTGTCACGGTTAAAAGCCACGGCTTTCACTGGCCGGCCATGGTTGGGTACAAAGCGCCCATTTCAGTTATGGCTATGTTATGGCTAGGGATTCGATCAGGTGGATCGTAGCTTAGCCATAAGTGAAATGGTTGGTGCTTTTTGCGACATGTTTGCCTTTATGATAGTTCATGGGGTTCTAGAATCTATAGTTATTCTGTGTTATAGCATGTTGTAGGAAGTTATATATATATATGTCATTTTGTGGGCAAGTTTTTGGGCTTGGACACACACACATATATATACACATGTATATGTATATCTATATGTATATGTATTTGTATATGTATATGCATTTATATATAGATCAAGAATATGATAAATAGATCGAATCTAACCATTTGATGAATACCATCCTGGACATATCGAATCCTGCGTCAAGGCATTGGCCTGTGTTCGCGCCACGTTGAAGATGCAGCGAGGTCCATGGTGTGGATGATGGATTTCATGGGGAAAATCATGGGAAACTAAGGCCATAGAAATGTCGTGAGTTTTCCCATGAAAAACGGTGATTTTCCCATGAAAAATGGTGACTTTTCCCATGAAAAATGGTGATGTTCCATAATTTTTTGTATGTTTACCGGGGGGTATGATTTAAAACGAGAAACATGATGAATTTAACCGAACAAAAATGGGAACCATGAAAGTTTAACTCACAAAAATTATGCTAGAATGGAGATTTGATGGTGTATAATAGGGATACATTTGGATGATGTGATGTGATTGGGATTTGTGGAATCATCAACAAGTGTTTGAACTTTTCAGGTGGGTGAATTGTGAATTAGTTAATATTACGGCAAGACCCTGAGGTTTGCCCGAACTCGCAACGCGTGTCCGGGAAAGCCAAGATGTTGATGTTGATGATGATGATGATTTTGATATTTTCTTGAAATCCTATAAGAAACCCTAGTGACTGTATGGTTAATTATATAATTGTTTCATGGGGCCGGAGGATACTGATATCTTCTTGAAACCCTATAAGAAACCCTACTGACTGTATGGTTAATTGTTCCATGGGGCCGGGGGACTTTGATATCTTCTTGAAACCCTGTAAGAAACCCTAATTGTACAGAATTCCCCGGTATGTACGCTATTCTGGGCTTGGGCAAACCTCAGGGTCTGTGTGTAATATTAGTGAGTTATGACGTTTATTTATGTCATATATATATATTATATAGTAACACACACATATATATATATATATACATATATATACACACTATTACGTACATGTGATGTATATCACTTTGAATCAGCAAAAATGATTCCCCGATGTCTTTCCCCAAATGAAGACGATATGAAGAGGTAGACATTGCCCGGCAGGTGTGCAGAAGATCAACCACTGGTCTCAGAAGAAGGGCCTGCCACATGCAACTTGGCTGGGTATGGTGCAGCTGCACCTGAAACAAACAGATTATAGGTAGTACTTGGTGGCTTACCCCCACTGAATGTAAGATTGGAAACATGTGTTATTACCCCAGTTTATGCGAGATAAGCAGGCTTAGTTCAGTTTTAACGATGGTGTTAATGATTGACATTCATTAACCCACTTACTGGGGTGATATGCCAGTTAGTCGTAAACTGTTGAGCTGGCTTCATGTCGATGTGAGATTTTTGGGCTCATGTTGACACATGTCAAGAGCCGAGAGCTGGTGAGAGCATCTCAATGGTCCATTTCAAGTTATTCATTGTGAACTGCCAATTTAGTCCAGGGTACCTGTTCTATGGATTTCTCTCAAAGATCCATGGTCACCCATTTCATGTCGCATTCTCGCCACAATGGTTTCCCATTGGTTTCCCATACTTTTCGAATGCTTTCCTAATACTACCCTCTGGTAAACTAACAGTTTGCGACATAGAACATGGCCATAGAAATAGTGGATTTTCCCATGAAAAACGGTGATTTTCCATCCCAAACTGTTAGTTCACCAGGCCGGGTATTCCCATCCCACAGTGGGGCCGCTATCGAAAAAATCGCTCCTTCGGAAGGTGAGCATTCGCTGCGGCATCCATTCCGGCTGGGTCTCGGTGGGAAATCTGGGCTTCCACTCGCGGCTGAAGTTTGGCGTCATCGGCCTCTCGGCGATGTCGCTGATGTGGAGAATCCACCATGACTGGAATCATCTCCCCTGGGGAAGCCATTGGTTTTCCAGATCGATCTTGGTGACTACCCTAGGGTTATTATTTAGTGAAATCATTGGTTTTCCAGATCCATCTTGGTGACTACCCTAGGGTGATTATTTAGTGAAACTATTGCTTCTCCACATCTATCTTAGTGTCAACGGCTTATTATTAAAAGTCGTGATTAACTGTTGGTCGGGACCACCTCCATAGCTGGTAGGTTTATTGGGACCCATAAGATTGTTGATTCCGCCACTAAACTGGGAGTTTTAGAATGGTGAATCAATTTCCACCAAATTGCTAGCCCAAAATTAGTCCATCACCAACTAAATTAGCACTGATACCCCAAATTCATCAATGACCAACCATTTCACCAACATGAATCCTTGTGTTGACATTCCAATTTCTACCCAAACATGTATGGTGTTTTGTTTTTTCTTAATGAACCCTTGGATTGACATAGGGTTTTAGGGTATGGTTTTTTGATGAATCCTTGGGTTTTTGAAGCAACTCCGCCAGGCGAGAACGCCAACGTGCCAGCCAAGTTGGAGGAGCTGAATAAGACCTATGGCACTCCAAATCTCATCTCCGAGGTCGCGCTGGAAGAGTTGTTGGTCCTTTTTGTTGGGTAAAATCCATGGGAACATCATGGGAAATCATAGGAGAATATGTGGGAAAATCATGTGAACATGTTGGAAACCCATGCTGGATGGGGCCCCCTTCAGATAGCGTTCAGTTGAGATATGGCCGTGGCTGTGGCTGAACTATGGTTTATGGATGTTTATGGTAGATATAACGAACTAGTTTTCATGGGGTTTATAAAGCAACAAACACAACTGGGGGGCACCATCGGAACATGCGGGAATATCCCCAACTACAGTAAATGGAGGTTAAATGCTTAATTATGTTTATAGCTGAGAAAAATGTACAGCTAAGTGGAGGACTTTGAGACATTTTGAGTGTATTGATTTAGTTGCATACTCCATCTTACTCTACGACTCGGAAGGATAGACAGGTATGAATGGCAACAGGTTTCTTGATCTTCAAAAGCATTGTGCTGTAAAATATTTCACACGTCCTCGGTGGTTTGTTAATGTTATCAAATACTATCCTGTATTTATTACCCATTACCAATGGGAATTATTTCCTACACATCTCATTCCCATTCCGTCGCCTGCGATGTCTCCGAAGGCAACCTACAACAGATTGCCGGGTGAGGAGTTTCTTGGATCCAGCAGCCGGATGAAACCCGGATCAATGGGAAGATCGATTGGGACAGACCATTGTTGTAACATGTAGTTGTTTTTTTTTTGGGGTTTACCCTCTGGTTATGACTAACATAGCCATGGTATAGATGGCCCACTTATAGATGGTTTCCCGAACTTAAAAATGGTGATTTTCCATGGCAAACTGTTAGTCATAACCAGATGGTACCATGGCTCACCACATTGCCTGAGATATTTTCTTGGGCTTCATGAAATAGCTGTTCCAATTTTCGATCATTTCACACGAAGGCCTTCTGCCCAGCTTAAGCGATGAAGACATTTCTGACCTGCCGGCATCACGGGTCGCATCTGGCCCGGCTGGCCCTTGGAATCCATATTCGATCAGAAGATCGAGGATTTTTTGGGAGGGTACCTGTTAATATCATGTGAATGTTAGGGTGGATTAACAGGATAACAGGATGTGAAAACACGAGAATTTTCCTGCTTGTTATGATATTAATGTTCAATGTTCCTGTTTGTGTTTTCTTTCTAGAGTGAAGGGATGAATAGTGATGAATTCTCCCTATGGGCTCAAGTTGGAACATATCACCCACTTCCAACGAACTCTGCTGCCGAGTTTTATTGTCAGACCGATCGACTATGTCGACATTTGGCCCCTTGGCGCTGCAGGCAGAATGCGGGCAGAATTTAAGCGGTGAACAGAAGTCGCGATCGACAAAAGTCAAGGCCTAGTGAATTGCAAATTCAAGGCCAAGTTGTCAGTTTTTTCCTCCTGGAATTTGCTTCAAGTAATGTCAACCCTGGATGAAAATCAACCCCGTTGACGGCTGCTTGTTTTTGGGAGGGTACCCTCTGGTTATTTAACATAGCTATGGAAAATGGCATGGCCCATTTATAGATGGTTTACCGAACTTAAAAATGGTGATTTTCCATAGCAAACTGTTAGTTTACCAGAGGGTAATCCCCATAAAATCCCCATAAAATCCCCATAAAATCCCCATAAAATCCCCATAAATTTCCATGGCTATGTTAAATAACCAGAGGGTACCATTTAAGGATGACATGACTATTAGATCATCCCAGGCACGATGAGGGCCTGCAGGAGCCTGTCTACGAGGTGATGTCATATCTGGGTGGTGCACGCCCCAGCTGGAGGCTGGGCCCGTTATGTAAAAACGGGCTGCTGGTGGCAAGCAATGGGAAATTCCCGAAGTAAATAGAGGTTTAGTAAGTTTAGTATGGTTTAGTTTGCTGGATATAGCGAAAATCATCTACCAATGCTGGAATTTTCCAGCCACGTTTGAGTATCAATGTAAATCTGAAGACCTATAGGAAGAGTGCTGCAGCTGGTGTTTAGGATGTCCATTGCGAGAGGATTCTGATTATGCTAATGATTATGCAATGGTGCCACACTCTTTGGTGGGAAAACATGAAGTTAGAATGAAAAACGGTTTCAATCTGTTTCTTTTGTGGCTTTCATGACACAAAAGACTATATACAGACATGCATTTTGAGGCTATCTCCAAAGTCCTTAAAGAATCTGAAGAGGTCTCTAGCTTACTAAATTAGGTCTTTAAGGTCAAGACCTATCAGCACAAGATTTTGGACAGTTGTAGCCATCCAACTGTTTGGCAAAAACTCATTGACCATGGTAGACTTCATTGCTTCGGGTTCCTGAGCCAAAGGTAGCCTCTGGTAAACTAACACAACTATGGACAATTACATTTTTTTAATGGGCAAATCAACTACAAATGGCTATTTTCAATAGCAAACTGTTAGTTTACCCGAGGGTACCCCATTTTTCTTTTGCTGAGTTGGAGCACACATTTGCAGGTACAACCTTCGACATGACTTGGCTCAGAAGTACAAGCCCCTTGAAGCAGAAAAAACACCTGTGATGGGTTTTTGGAGGATGCTGAACTGCTGGTGAATTACCATGTTGCTGGGAAGATACGACGGAGATATTGGGATGAACACTAATCAATGGGAATTTCAGGATCCTAAAATGGAGGTACTGTACCATATAAGGCCATATTTTATGGGGATGTTCCCTTACATAGGCCTTACATAGGCCTTATATATGGTAGGTACCTCCAATTTAGGATCCTGAAAATCCCATTGAACTAATGTTGTTGATTCCACTTGGACAAAGAGAGGCTAGAGTCGACACTGCAGGCCCACAAGATGTTACTTGGACTTCTCTTCATTTGTGTTTACAGAGTCAGCATTGTATTCGTTGAACCTACTGTCCTTATTAAATCTTATGTATAAATACACTGGTGTATACATAATTTGATATATCACATGAATCTCTATGACATACCATGCATATCCATGCATCTAAATATATTTATATATATACTGTATATATATATATATGTATATCTGTGTGTGCGTGTAGATGTAATCATCATAGAATTGGATGATGTTTTTTTTTTTAAAACCGGAACCCCCCTATATTTGATGGTAAAATTAGTAAAAACCCATGGGTTTCCGCTGAAGATTTTCCCTTAAACAGCGGCATTGCTGCGAAACGAGGCACGCTCTCAGCTACTATGAGAACCGCAACTTCGACAAGGCCGAAGCCATCTTTCGTGAGGCTGGAGCGGATGGGGAGCTTCGGGAGGGGGGGACTTTTGTTGGGAAAAACCCATGGAAAAACGATGGAAACACGATGGAACAAGTGGGAAAAACAATGGAAAAACGATGGAAAAAACACATGAAACAATGGAAACATATGGAAAAACAGTGAGAAAAAAGACGGAGAAAGCATCCTGAAGATCTCCAAATGAAGATGGAAGAGATGATTGTTTGTGGATAATTTCATCTAATTGGTTGCCCGCAGCATTTTTTTGACCCGCAGCACCTCAATGTGGCAAAGGTGAGTTTGCAGATGGGTCAGCACTTTGGCACCTTCGACAAACCCTCGGTGGTCATGAGAAAACGCGCCAATTACTACCAGCCACTGGGCTGGGAGCTTGGTGGTGGGAGCAGCGGCTCATGTTGTGTCATAGTGGTCCTGCTTGTTGGATCTTGCAAAGGGGGAAGAATTTGCCTGCTTGATGGTTGCAGTAGTACCCTCTGGTAATTTAATATAGCTATTGAAAATGGCCATTTATAGTTGATGTCCCTATTAAAAATGGTGATTTTCCATAGTTATGTAAACGTTTACCAGAGGGTATGTCTTAGTTCCGTTGCTTTCATGTCATTTTCCACCACCCCAAAAAGGGGATGAGAATTCCGAGCTACATCCGCTGAAGCGGCCCAGGGGGGACTTGAACATGGGCCCGTGTCCCAAAATGAGGTTGTCTGCACTTTCTGGATAACAAATGATAACAAAACATAAAGACTTCACTGGAAGCTCACTGAAATGATAGAGTGAGGCGTAACTATATGTAACCATCCCAAAACGACATAACCGTTTTTGATGGATACCATACAATGTCTCCAGAGATTGGTGTGGTGAATGATTCCAGGCCCTTGGTTTTTCTGGTGGTTGGCGGTTCAGATTCGCCAAAGCCAGTTCCAGCTGGCTGGGAGAGTCCACTGGCTGGATTTGCTTCTGATATCCCAACAGGGATCCTAACGGTGCTGCGAAAAAAAGATAGCATGGATCCCATCAATATACCCCAGTCATGTTAGCATATATACCATAATATACCAAAATTACATGGATCCGTCATGGCTTATGATATGGTTACCATATATGGATATTTCATGATAGTATAAGCCATTTTCTAATGGATAGTACCATGGTATTATACTATATAATTAGAACGTAACATCTTCCGATCAGATCAAATCCCCAAACGTTGGATTACCAGAGATTGTCAAAGCCAATGCTTTCCATCCGGATGCTATTCATCTACAAGAGAAAACCGCCGGGTATATCATCCTAGACATTCCTAGACTATTAGGCCATATATTCCAATCTACCGCATTCATATACCCTTCGGTAGTCAAACATGGCAATTGAAAAACCACCATTGATGATTTTCCCAGCAAACCTTCAGCTACTTCGGATTTCCCAGCCACCTTTGTTTACCGGAGGGCAGCCTTCCCAGTAGATATCCCATTGTATCCTCATTATAAATCCCCATTGCGGTTGCCTAAATATCCACTTATATATCATCCTTTCCATTTATATATATAGTTATTTGGGTTTTCCCCGGTCGTTTTCCCGCATGCGTTTCCGGATGATTTTCCTATTATATAACTAATAGTTAATAATTAACTAGTTCCTTATATCTAGCACAAACCATACCCTCTGGTAATTTGACATAGCTATTGAAAATGGCCATTTATAATTGATTTGCCCAGCAAACTGTTAGTTTACCAGAGGGTAAGCCTAGGTCTTAGGTATCTTGGGGGCCCCATCCTTTTCTGGGAATTGTCCATGAAAAACCACGATCGATGATCCCATGTCAAGGAGAAATCCTCCACCCGCGCACTGGAAGGGCATTTGGACCCTGCCACGGGAGCCCAATGAAAGCGTGGCTGGGTGGAAAAGGAACGGTGGAAAAATGGCTTGGGAAGGGGTAGTATGGTTGGAGATGGTTTATGTAGATATGGTTAGATATGATTAGAGGTCTTAGGTACAGTCCCAACAACGATAGTTCAATGATAGGTAATTATACTAGTTTGGGATAGTTGGGGCATGTTGGGAGTTAGCAAACATGTGTTGATTTTCCTGCATCCATGCAACCGGGGATGCTGTACCCGAGGTTCCCTTACAATGTAGCCTATGGCAACAGACTTCTCCACAAAACAATGCAAAAAACAGCTGATCCGCATTTTTGGAGTGCTAAACTATACCCCCGAAAAAATCAATAGTACCAGTAATATCTATTAATTGCTGTGCCATAATAGTATTGTCTAATCAGTAATATCTATAAATTGGTATTACATCAAACATCAGACATTGCTGTACTATAGATATTACTGATTCCATCCACAGCTCGTCAATTCTGGGAAGCCCCAACTTCGCTGAGGATGGTGTCAACGAAGACGTGGTGTATGTCAGCATTTGAGGACCGCGCTAGCGTAAGACACGCCCAAAGTCGGAACAGTTTGGGCTTATTTATGAATATAATATTCATTTTTTTTGTAAATACATGCGCGCGCGCATATATATATATATATAATATTTATTGCACACACACACATATATATATATATATACATATCATGTATGTGTATATATATATATATTCATGAATGCATTATATTGCTGTATATACCTTATATTTCTCAGCAAAATCTCAAGATCCCACTGCGTTGAACTCAAAGATCTTCAGGACGGGGCGAATGCCAGTTGTGAGCTTGCGATTGTTCTCGGCGGATCAGTGAGCTGCAATCTTCGGAAGATTCATCATGAACAATGGTGAACAATGGACATGGACAATCATGAAAATCTGGTAATGGATCTTAAATCATTGGATTCATCTGGTAATAATCTATACAATAATTATCGTAATAAACTATAAAGTACTAAAGTACTAATTTCTCTATAAAGTACTAAAGTACATGGCGATGGACAATCATCGAGCTCAATGGAGGAGTTTGGAGCTGCAGATACGAAAATCACGAATCATGGCCAGATGAGTTTATCCAGATGAGACATCACTAATCATCACCTAATATTGTTGCGATCCAAACTTGCCCGGAGAAATACATTGCTAATACGGTTCTACATCACCGCACAGAAGTTCGCAAGCGAAACCTCCTGAGCCTGCAATTCCAAAGGAATTGGAAGGTCACATAGCCGACATAGACTGAAAAAACACCAGGAATCACAGGATGCCATACCTGAAATCAATCCATTGAGTGTTGATGAGTGGATCTGACCATGGGTCTGTTATTTTTTCTCCAATTCCAGTGGATGGCTAATTATTCTTGATTTTCTAAGGGTGAAACCATTTTCAGACACACATGTATATATATATAATGTAATATAATGTAATATACAATTTGATTTAATTTAATATAACATATATTACAATATAACATATGTAACATATATTACAATATAACATATATTACAATAAAATACAATATAATTTATAATACAATATAAGATAATATGATATGATATGATATGATGCAATATAATATAACACACACACATACATATATATATATATGCAATATACCATATATATATATATACACAATATACATAGTACCTTATTTTCCAAAGTGAATGACACTGAAAGATCCTTCTTGACTTAGATCTAAAACACCGTCTGAATCGCTGGTGTTTGAAAATGGCATGTCATGGCCGATCAGCAATCATCTGGGAAGCCGCGATCACACACACTTGACTTTGAATATGTTGAATTTATCATCACCCATCATATGGAAAATCACAATTTTTAATAGGTAAACCCAGGTAAACCATCTATAAATGGGCCATTTTCCATGGCTATGTTAGTCATAACCAGAGGGTAATACTTTTTGACATTTTGTGTGAATGGATTATTCCATATGATAGATATACTTGTGTTAGAAGTGTTTGTTTGAATTTATTCCATTCAAATATCCATGTGACGAAAAGAAACAAACAACTTTTAGCACACACACTCGTATGGACTTTATATTTTTTGATGAATACTTTTTTGAAATTTGGGATTTTGATATGAACGTTTGATTGATATGAAAGTTGATATGACCTTGATTGAAAGTCAGATTTTTGCGATTTTCATTGAATATCATATTCTCATTGTATCACCATTAGAATCCCTATATCCCTACATGGAATTTCATGGATATCCCCATTAATAATATGGATATTACTGGATTATATGATTAAGAATATCATTATTACCCATTAATAGGGATTATATAGCCATAAATCATGGATTGTATCCCAACAACATGGAATTTCATGGATTATCCCCTATCAGATTATATAGGTATCTGGTTAAATTATAACGACCTCACTGTTCTCCCTCACTGGAATCATGGTTAGGATTCGGGAAATCATCCCCAAATGGCCCAACAATTCAGGTTAGTGAAAGATTATAATTTACCCAGATCATTAGTTGATGAATCAGGTAAACCATGGTTACCCTCTAGTTATTTAACAGTATACAATGTATGGATTACCGTAAGTCTCTGATTTTTTGACATTTTGCTTCAACCACCACGGCATCCCACGTACGATGTGCGTTGTGAAAAATTTGTGGCACGCACGTCCTGTAGGAGATGGGTTCCACAAGTGGCAGAGCTATTTTTCTGCGGTATGATATGGGACTTAGTTAGTGGAAAATCATCTAAAAAGGTAGGTTTTAATGGGAAAATCATCTAAAAAGTGGAGGGTTTTAGTGGGGAAAATCATCTAAAAAGTGGAGGGTTTTAGTGGGGAAATCATCTGAAAAGTGGAGGGTTTTAGTGGGGAAAATCATCTAAAAAGTGGGGAGGGTTTTAGTGGGGAAATCATCTGAAAAGTGGAGGGTTTTAGTGGGGAAAATCATCTAAAAAGTGGAGGGTTTTAGTGGGGAAAATCATCTGAAAAGTGGAGGGTTTTAGTGGGGAAAGCATCTGAAAAGTGGAGGGTTTTAGTGGGGAAAATCATCTAAAAAGTGGAGGGTTTTAGTGGGGAAATCATCTGAAAATGGAGGTTTACTTGAAAGGTACATGATCTACCATGCCTCAGGTACATTGTTGTCCATGTAACTGTTCTGGCTCTAGAGCTCGACCTAGGTAAACACAAGACTTCGTCACAAGCGGACAGAGGAAAACAGACATTTGCGGAATCAGTACTTCTTTGTCACTTTAGTTCCTCTATTTTTCGAGTTGGTAGCGGAGCCGGGAACCCCGGCAGTAACCCCCATTTAAGGTATCTGCTATACCCTAAGGGTCGACTCGACTGTTTTCATTTCTTTTCATCCTTACTCCATTGATTGTCATCATGTTCACCGCCGTGCTGAAGTTGTGTGCCGTGTTAGTAGTGGCACTGGTGGGGTCTGTCTCAGCCAGTACTGGGCTGGTGATCAAGAGTCGCAATACCAGCGCTCTTGTGATCCAGTCCAGTGCGGTTGGGGCAGGCTCGATCAGTGTCACTACACACTGGTATGCAGCGAGCAATGGTCGCAAAGCCCCAGTACAGGCCAGGCCCGAAGGCGAGTACAAGCCCAGTCTGGTGAATGGGGATCAGTGGAGGCAGGAGCTGAATTCGACCCTGGTGCGGCTGCACCACTCAAGGAGGAAGTTCAAAACGAACCCTCGGGATCAGCGTAGGGCAGAGCTTTTGCGTAGGCGACTCAGACGGCAGCAGAGATTAGTGTTTGAAAGAATGCTAAACATGTACGACTCTAAGCTGAAACATCTGAAGTCTCGTCACAAGGAACTCTGTGAGCTGGTCTATGGGAAAGATGCAGCCATTAGATCCAGGAACCAATGCATGACCGGATCCAAAGCAGGCAATCGGAAGGTGAAGTCTCCTGAAGCCCATGTCAATTCGGGTTCGATGACCGCTGGTCACCGTGATGGTAGATCGCTCTCGGATTCGACACTATTGCTAGCCGCTGGAGGCGGCCTTAGCACATGTGCATTAGTGGCTTGCATGGTGCCAGGAAGGAGTAACCATCCAAGATTGCCCCCCGCATGGAGCCCAGAAATGGAGCATCAGTATAGCTTCAGTACTTGGTCTAGGGACATCTTAATTTGGAGCATTGCTACAGATGGGGATGCATCTCGAAAGGCGGCTAGTGTGATTTCCCAACTGCAGGGATCAGCCAGGGAATTCAGTAGGACACTTCCGCCCCAGACCATCCTGACAGGGGGTACCGTAAATGGTACCCAAACCGACCCACTAACGTTTTTGATGTATCAACTTAGCACCCGATTTGCCAGGCTAGGTGAGGAAGTCCGGCTAGGGGCAGTAGGAGATCTGTTGTCATTTGGAAGGGAATCCAATGAAAGGATCGACATGCTGCTGACTAGGTTTGATACTACCCGCATGCGTGCGGCAGAGACAGGTGGGCTCGCCCTGAGCTATGCTGGTCTTTCTTGGTTGCTGATCCGTGCCGTAGGTGTCTCGGATTCTCAATTGATCCAACTCCTACAGCCACTCGGTGGTGCTCTCCCTGCTGATGAGCAGCAATTCACAGGGTTGAAAGACTCCATCAGACGTATGGGTAGGATCATTGAAAATGCACCAGGAAATATGTCCAACATGTTGCGGGGTAGACAACATCCAACACACAATTACCATATCCAGGACGAGCACTCATGGAATGAAAACGTATTCACATCTCAGAATGACCAACCCGGTAGTTCATGGCATGACCAGAGTTCTTGGCAATCCCAATGGCATTCATCCGAAGCATACCCCACTTATACACAGCCGCAAGATCCATACGTGTATTTGTCAGAGGGTCAGGGTGACAGTGGCACAGACACTGACACCAGCAGTGACTATGGCGAAGAAGCCTGGCCAGCTGCTGAGGGTGCCACGGCCAATGAGCAGGCTGCCGAGCTCTACTGGGCCTATTCCCGTGCTAAGGCACGTTGGAGGTCATTCATGGGCAAGCCGACCCGAAAAGCTCGGAGGTTTGCCCGCAGAGCCATCTACAAAGGTGGA